GCTAATGGCAAACCGTTTTGCTTGTCGTTGCAAAACTGACGTTTCTGATTTGAGTTAAATTAAAACTGTATCAAAGTATGAGTGCAAGTAGCTCTTGCAAAATATACTTTAATAGCTTATTAAGGCAGCTATTATATGTTATTCAAACACTATCTTTAACTCTCTATTAATTGCAAACGCATTTTCGTCTCGCCTTGAGCCAGTTTTCAATACGTCTTTATGAATGTTATCGTATGACGCGCTGAGTAATTATAAAATAAGTCAGGATTACTCAATAGATGGTTGTTACGCCTCCAATGCTAAAGACACGCAGTCAATAAAATAATGTCAATTGATTACTCTTCAACGCTACTACCTGTCATAGGTAGACGACAAACTCGGTACTACAGGAAATATCCACAACATCACCATCATCATCATCATCACCAGCTCACTACATGTCCCCTTTGAAGGGCTAGGAGCCTCCCCAAGTTAGGGGAGACTAGGCAATAGTCAACCACGCAGACCAAGTGCGGGTTGGTTGACTTCGCAATTATGTATCTTTGAATTTCTTCCTGGAATGATACACATCATATAATGCTAAAATATCAAGAAAAGTATTTTCGTTACGATCATATCTTATACACTCAATCCTCTTGAGGATTGAAGTAAACTGTATCTTCTCACTTTAAAACATTGTCTGAATTCGACCCTTTCTAAGTGGTCCTCACTTTGCCTCTACATTTACGCGTCTTGTAGAGTAATTAAATGTTAATCCAAAAGGAATACAAAGTAATAATCAATTATCAAGTTCCGTAATATGCATAGAATTAAAAACCTGTAATGTTAACACGGCGACCCTACGAGTAGGGCTGGCCGGTGACTTTGACCCGATTGTGGTAGTTTGCTGTTAGCACGTCACTAACTCCGTATCAATACCCGTTCGGAAACTACATACTTGAACGTTCTTGTTCTTGCAAAAATTCAACAAAAAAAAAAATCGAAACAAGGTTACAAGGAACACGTGATATATTTTGAATATTGTTTCAAAAATCTAAGACCTTGTATGTTATGCATATTAAATGTGTCCTTATCAGCGAGCTAATACACTAAATACATCTTCCTTTTCCCCATTCCTTTCTTCGTGACCTCGTAAAGACATTTTAATCTATATTATATGCCCTAGAAAATTTACACATAAGAACAAGAAGACCGTGGTGTCATTGATATGTCACCTTCTTTCTTTCTGTTATCTATAGAAGCTGTATAATATAATAATACAGATAAAAAAAATTAGGAAAGCATTGTCAAAGAGGAATTACCATACGCCTAAATAATACGAGCTGATAAATGTTTCTGTTAAGTTCTTCATGTAATCATTCGTTCGTATATCGTAAAATGAATTTCATTTCTTCAGACCTTGGTTCTAAAAGTGGGCGTTAATGGCAGCCTCATTAGGAAGTGTTGGCCTGGTGAGGTACGTACGTTCCGGTGTCCTTGAAGCGGATAATTTGGGGCTGCACGCTAATCCACACCCAGTAGCACGCTATTTCATTGTTTAGTTGCACAATGGATTTATAAATGCACTTCTATTTATTTACTAGTAAGACAAGAAACAATTAAAAGGTACCAAATCAGGTGAGGTGATTTTCAAACAAGACAAAACGCTCAACAGAATATCGATAAATATTAAAATTGAGAAAAACATACCATTGAATTTTGAAATTCATCTCCAATGAAATTGTATACTGATAAGGTCGATGTCTGGTTTCCTAGTCTCTTAGTCCAATGTCACACAGCTAAAAATTTTTCATAACGTTAAGAAAGCAACGCATGTTAAGGTTAACAAAAAAAAACATACCTACCTTGTCGATTTAGTTTCAATATATCTTTAAATAGTTATTGACGTCAAAAGAAATTTAAATAAATACAATAAACATACACAATTATCGGAAATATCGTAACATTGTAGGGTCGTTTACCGAAGTGAATAGCTTACGTGACCAGAAGCACGACTGAAATGACACTGACCCCGACAGATCATGTACCCTAATGTTATTAAAATAAAAGCTAAATTCATATAACACATTGACAATAAAAATACCAAGTCACATTTGTATTGCATTCTATAGACTTCATTTAAAAAAGAGTTAAACAAAGGGCGTAAACATACAATAAAGTGTTAAAATATAACACGCACAAAACGTTTAAATTATTCTTTACGAAACAAAAGAAATAATCATCAAATGTAGGTGTGGTTTTGTTAATTTTGTTGCTTTATTGTGTTTGTTCTTTTTTCATTAGAGCATACATCGTATCTGGGGGCACGAAAATTTGCGTCGAAGTAGTGGTAATATGTCGATGACGTTACGTTTACTTTTACATGCTAGGCCCTAGTGTTTTAATACGCAACCAAAACTTCATCAAAACCTATTTAATGATAACTACTCATTTTATTTAGATGTAAAAATATACATGTAACCATAAATACGTAGTTATCAATGAATAAACATTAATTGCATAATACAGTATTAATTTTCAATCAAGTTTAGTATTATGCAAATTAATGCTTGCTAATTATAGATTAGGATGCATGCAACGAGTTTTTGCTCGTGACTTTCCGTAACTCTTCCGGTCAGTTGCTATTCAACAGAATGCATAAGATGTCAAGGTGAAATTATTAAAGACAGGAAATACTCGTAAAATGCATATGAATTATGCATTTTTGATTGATTTTATTTGTATATTTTTCATTTGATTAGTAGTTGATAAAATGATTAGAGATTTGAAAGATACGATTTTAGGTTAGTTTTCATGTTTGTTTTTTCTTCCAATTAAATAAAATTCACGAGTAAACCCTGTATTTACATGCATATAAGGTTCTTTGAATTATTTAACTATAGATTAATATTTTGCAAGTACATTAAAATTGCAAAAGGCTAACAGGTCTTAAAGATATTTACATTATTTTGCTTTTACAAATTATACTGTAGTAGTCGTTCAAATAACTGTAATTTATTTACTTGTTTATATTCTAAACCAGTTTTCATTTATACTGATATTGAAATTTTACGAAGGATCTCAGGAAATTAATGTCCGAGTAACTTATAACCTTTCAATAAAAATAATTCATACGACAATACATTTGTAATAAACCAATACTTTTTTTCGACCTGAGACTACAGTCTGACAATTTATCTGACCCGGTAGGGACAAATAAAACTAAATTCAAATAGCTCACTAGCGCCAAATAACAAAAAAGTGTAGTCATTTACAATGCCCTTTCTTTTATTTATGCATTTTTAATGTCTAATAAGTTTTATATATTTCCTATCAGAACTAACCGCAATAGGAGCCTTCTTGTTTGACTACATACCATAAAATTCGATCACTCGTAGTTTTTTTAGTGATCATAAAAATTTGTTTAAAACTTATTATCTTTGATCTCTTATGACTAAGGGTTATACCAACTATACTAAAATAAAACATTTCTACTAGAAGACAACATTTATTACATTATAAGATACATTTTATCGTAGTAAAAGATTTTTAAACAGATTTTTCATTACATGATAGCAGTTTCAATTACCAAGTATAGTACAGCAAGATTAAATTGGCACATCAACTAGAACACTTGTTATTGACGTGCCATCAAAATTCTAGCTTGCTAAACATAGTCGAGGAATTTAATTTGCTCCCCACTTGGGATAGTATAAGCAAAAACATGCATTTATGTTTCTAAACGCGATGGTAAATGAAAATTCTATAATAGAAATGGGTAGGAAATTAAAGGCCTTGACTGTACAGGTATAGGTTCAAAATGGTATTGATTCTTTTTAGTTAAATACACACAATATACTTGTACTGTAAATTTTCTCAACAATAATTAAGCCAAACAAGAGATTCAAAAAGTACAGTCGAATACAATAATGTTAATACTGCTTGTTATTTAACATATTTCGACCATTTCGAAAAAAGTCACATTTTATATTATGTAATAATAATTATTTATCGTATTTTATGTGTGAATATACAAAGCTGTTGTTTAGTTTTTTTATGCAAATGATAAGCGAAATGGCAAAAGTCAGGTAGTAAGATTTTGTAGAGAAAAACATTACATATTTATGTTCCCACTGCGGAAACTTGTACAAAAACATGTCACTTCAGTTTGTATTATCAATGTAGATATATGATAAACAAATTTATCGGTGTTTAATATGATTATTTCTTTGAAAATGAGTTGTCTTCAAAATAAGTCCAATACAATTCTATACAATATAGATCCGGGCTATATAGATATAGAGGGTGAAAAAACATTGATTTTTATTCATAGAGATTTTTAATTTTTGCCAAGAAATACCCTAAAAATAATAAAAACAAATTTTCCATTAATGTCAAAATTAAAAAGCCGTAATTTGTTGCTTATTATAAAATTCGCTGCTTAAATAAGCTGTAATTCAAGAATGAACGAATGTATAACCTTATGTACAGTCGTGAAAATCTGCAGTGTTCCACTTAAGAAAAAAAATCCTTGTTCATTGCAACGAGACAAACTACTTACAAATAACTAATTATATAGCAATGAGTGGAAACGAAGGGATAATAATAAAAAGAAACACTGTGTATCATTAACCGACCTTTTTGCTATAGACACATTTATAAACTGCATAGTTAATGAATCTTTTAAGATTTGACAAACCCTACCGCTTATTTCCCCGACTGTACTTTGAAATCTTTAAAGGATACATAATATATTAAGCAAATTAATATTTACACACTAAATAAAAACTTTTAAAACTAAAAACACGATTTTAAAAACATCAGCCCAGCTGCCTTTAACATTTCCTGGGAATGTAATATAAAATTTACCCCGTATTTAAATGATTTTTATAAAATTATTGATTACATTTTTTTTTTCGAGATCAAAATAAAGTAAATTTTTATCCACCAAATAAAATTTAAAACATAATTTCCGATTATTAAATTTCTTATATCAATAGTTTTAAAATGTAAAATAAAATCAATTCTTTGTTAAACCGATGGCTGTGCAGGTTAATATGAATTGGAACGGAATTAAAAAGTTCCAGCAAAAAATAAATTTAATGTAAATTGGAGCAATTTTTTCCATTTTCAGTTATTTTTATACTATTTTTCATGTCTCGAAGGTTACGGTTATGTCAGGTTTTCAAGCTAAACCAATTCTTACATACCTATAGTGTGATGATTAGTTATTTAATTTCCTCTTTTCCTTCAACGATTTCTTGTATACTTTTTTTAGTTTTTTATATATAGAAAGAACAATCTTACATTTAAACAAAGAACATTCTGCTGAAATCGAGCATTTTCTTTAGAACGTAAAGCCGTTTTGGTTTCTTCTCCAACGCTTCGTTGTCGAATTTATCGCCACTAAAAGAAAACAAAAAAATATAAGTTAATTCGTTCTGTCGGAAAATCTAGTTAGTGAAAGAACACAGTATATGTACAGAATTCTTAAACGAATGATTACATAAAGGTTTGTGTATTGCTTAAGTTTTACATGCGCATGTTACGAACTTTAACTAACTCGTTCATAACTCAGTGTGTATGTCGGAGTAATTTGTGGAAATATTATGTGGGCGTAGTATGTGGGAGTAGCATGTGGTCGTAGTGTGGGAATATTTTGTGGAAATAGTATGTGGGGTTAGTATGTGTGGGTAGTTCACGGGAATAGAATGTGGGCGTAGTTTGTGGGAAAAGTACGTGGACATAGTATACGGGCGTAATTTGTGGGAAAAGTATGTGGGTGTAGTTTGTGGAAATATTATGTGAGAGTAGTATGTGGGCGTAGTTTAAAGGGAAAGTATGTGGGAGTAGTATGTGGGCGTAGTTTGAAGGGAAAGTATGTGGGCGTAGTTTGAAGGGAAAGTATGTGGGCGTAGTTTGAAGGGAAAGTAGGTGGGAGTAGTATGTGGGCGTAGTTTTAAAGGGAAAGTAGGTGGGAGTAGTATGTGGGCGTAGTTTGAAGGGAAAGTATGTGGGAGTAGTATGTGGGCGTAGTTTGTGGATAGTTTGTGGGCGTAGTACGTATACGTACTGTGTGAGCGACTTGGCGCGCAGACAGGCGAGGTGCGCGTAGTATGTGGGCGTGGGGTAGGAGACGGCGCGCATGCAGCGCGCGTACAGGTGGCACAGGTAGTATGTCAGCTGCTCCACCTCGTCTATGGGGATGCCACCGTCGTTGCACACCGCGTGGTATCGAGTGGGACGCGCTGTCCCCTTTATTGCCTGATGGGACACCTATAACAGACAAAAAATAGACGATAAGTAACCGTATGCATATAACTGTTGTTTCACTAGCAAGCAAAACCGTTGGCTCAGGCTTGCAATACAGCGATATATCTTTTTAACGGAAATCCTAAAAGTACGCAGACTTAAAATCCGATAGTTTTGCTTTGTGCCAATGATTCGCGCTGTAAGTTGGAGTTAGTGTGGAATAAATCATAGTTATATCAATTTGTTTAACAAAGAATAAGCAAACAATAACAGTGGCTATAGAACAAAAAACTTACCAAATAAAAATCTAATTCTTTGGCATGCACGATCTGTTTATCGACGACCGTACCGGGCTCAACGTTTTGCGGATTCTGAGCGCCCGAGAAAAATCTGAAATAAATACGAGCATTAATAAATCGAAACTAAATCTAAATCGTGGCACATAAAACAAATAGTATACCTAGTGTGATGCCGTTTCTGCACCAAAAGGAACAAAACCTCAGGTTTCTCCGGCTGTCCGGACATTCTGCGGTATGCGCGGTACACGGCCGTCAGCTCGCTGTTCATCACCTTAAAACCAAAACAAACTTCGTTAAAAACAGTCACTGACCGTACATTTTTCTTACAAAATAGACCCCAAATGAATGATATTTAAAAAACTTTGTATGTGATAATTTCATCCAGATTTGTTTAGTCATACTGGTGTAAAGTATTCATATAATCAAATGTATTTTCAGTTTGATATAATACAATTAGTATTTAAAAAAAAGACTTATTTGGTAGCCCACGTTTTGTTCCAGATTTAGTTCTACATTTAAATCTAAATTACATTGAGATCTGTTCATCCATTCAGGCTGTAAACTCTAACATCCATCCACCCATCCATTTAAACTTTAACATTAATAATATTATTATGATTTACATAAATACCTCTTCAAACTGTCCTTCGGAGACACCGTCGCGGAAAACGTATATCTTTTTAGGCAACATGTTCTGATTGTGTTTGCGGTAAACAACCAAGTGGTCCACCATCATATCTTCAAACTCCACTATTATCTCTTTCTGTCAAATAAAAAGGCATATTAAATATCAAATACATATATCTAAATTTTAAATAACAGGAATTTTTAATAGACTAGCTGTTACTAGCGAGTACGTCTGGTTAAAATTAAAAAACAATAAAAATTGTATGTTAAATCGACCCAGTAGTTTTTGAGTAATTTCAATATATACAAAAATACAAATCTTTCCTCGTTATATGTGTAATAACATACCTTAGGTGTCTGTACAGAGAGTTCAATATTGTAGAGGAAACATTTCGGATCGATGGACGCAGTCACCGCCGCGATACTGGGAATGTTCGACTGTAACATTATAAAAAAACATAAGTATTAAAAAATAAACAATAACTATTGACTAATATTGACTGCCCTCAAGTATCGTTAAATTGCTATTAAGTAATAGGATTATAATAAGAGGCCTAGCACGAAAAATTTCATGACAATAATGCCATAAACAAAATTTGTATTAGATTTGTACAACCTCATACAAAATCGATGACGTTGCGAATAGATTTGTATCGAAATGGATTGGTAATGAGAAATACAATAAACAACTATTTAAGTAAATATAACTGCAATAGTTAAAAACGTTTATATCATTACTAGCTTTCGCCCGCGACTCCGTCTGCGTGGAATTAAAAAAAACAAAAGTAAGTAGCCTATGTGTTATTCCAGCCTTTCCTCTACGTCTGTGCCAAATTTTATCGAGATCTGTTCAGCTGTTTAGGCTACAAACTCTAACAAACATCCATTCCATCCATCTAAATTTTAATGACACTATACCTGATCCGGGGAGGGGTGAGTGACGTCAGCGCCCACCACCATCACCGGCCCTCGCAGACACGGCGGCATGCAGCGACCATCCAAAGCTTGGTTAATACCCATCAATTTTGAATTCACCTGAAAAAAAATACGTCAATACAAGCAAAAACAGCTGGAAAATTACATACATCGCTAACTTCCACTATAATCTTGTCATTTACTATCGAACTTCTGCTAATATAACGCATAAACATATATCATGTATACATATAATATAGCGCATACATGTTTGTCTACATGTTGCAGGAAAATTGAGTTTTATTTCTGTTTTGTTGAAGTATGTTTAAAAAATGTACGAGTTATGAAGATCTGTATGTCCCGTCATCTGTATATTGCTTTTTTCTGTGTGTAATATATTAAATCCTGCTGTTATTTAGAGATGCTATTAGTGTACCTATTCAATAAATAAAATAAAATAAATTGAAATACTTATTATAGTTTTATGTATATATCACTTATTTATATACTTAACTTACCTTCAATAGAATGTTTCTGACAGTCTGGTCGTTCATGCGGCGTGCGGCGGTGTCCTCCTTAATGCACTGAGTGAGGATTCCCACATCTAACTCCGCGAAGCGTTTCACCTTAAGAAATAGCAAGACAAATATACAAATCTATACTAAAAAGCGTAAACACACACTATTTATGTAGGATGTACCCACATCCTACATAAATATAGTGTGTTTCAAATATAGTATATTCAAAAACATGCTGTCATTACTGAATCACAGCATCATCACCAGCTCACTATATGTCCCCACTGAGGGGCTCGAAGCCTACCCTAAGTTAGGGTGACTAGGTCACAGTCAACCGCGCGAGCCCAGTGCGGGTTGGTTGACTCCACACATATCTTTGAATTTCTTCTCCGATATGTGCAGGTTCTTTTACTTACCCTATGATAGTAATCGCGGCCGGCTCTGGACACAATAACGAAGAGAAAATTGATGTCTTTCTCCAACGCGCTGAAGAGAACATTAGCGAGGTCGGACATCCTGATGTTGAAGTGCATACACTTCGGCTGCTCCACCGGCATTCCCATCTGATTGCCCACACGGAGCACCTGGATAAATAAAACATATTAAAGTGAAAACACTCTTTTTAAAGAAAATCACGACATATATTTCTTACAATATTTAGATTTTAATATTATTTTTAAAGCATAAATAACGAATATGTAAAAAATTGAACAGTCTAAAAATCACGAACTTGATTGTTATTACATTTTTGACATTCTGGTGTAAGCAGAAACCTGTTTATATTGATATTTCCCGCCATATATTTATATGTTAAAGTGCAATATAAATAGATAGATTTTTATTTCAAATTTATTGCATGCGATTTAATTTTTCAATGAAATGGTTTCTGAAATCATTTAATTTTAATTTTATTTCTAACTAGCTTTCGCCCGCGTCTACGTCCGCGTGGAATAAAAAAACAAAAGCAATTAGCCTAGTGTTCTTCCAGACTATCGTCTACATCTATGCCAAATTTTATCTAAATCGGTTCATCCGTTTAGAATACAAACTCTAATAAACATCCAATCATCCATCTAAACTTTCGCATTTATAATATAAATAAGAAGTAAATTAGATTCCCGACCATAGCAATAAGTTTTCTTACCATTTGGATGATATTTTGATAATTGCACTGCGTGGGGTTGCATTCGATAGCGACGAAGCCCCACGAGCGGAGCGCGCTCGCCTGCAGCAATGTGTTCGCGTTCCACACCCCGCGTCTGCAATAGGGAATATGCATATTTTTTTTATTTTTTTTTTAAACGATTCTACTTGTTATAAGATAACCAGAAAATGACATTGACTCGAATAAATTCAACCATTGAGCTAAAAATAATACAATAAAATTATGATCATTTTCATGCGACTAAAACGCGAGCGTTAGCTTGAGACACGTGACGTCAATCGTCATATTTCATTCAATTCATTTATCACATTCGCTCAGATGTCACTTAAATGACGAAAAACAACAAAGTTCTCAGAGTATCAAAAGTCAAAAATCGATTTATTTTCATTATTCCAGGTACAAACTAGTGGTTCTCTTCATTTATTTATTTTTTAAATTAGTTTTGACGTGTTTACAGTAAAATACTTGAAGAGTGAATTTATATATAAAATAACGTAATTGAACTGTGTATTGACAACACAGCGAAGCCATAATAGATGTCACTTGCTTTGACCAATAGCGTTGCGTTTTAGAACTTAAAGAAGGAATTTAAAAAAGACACTCTTTAATCATTAAAATTCGCCACTACACATACTAAAAAAAATCTTTACAGGTATGTTTTTATAGTAATAAAGAATACTTTAAAAAACTTTGGTCAAATTTGTCCAAACACTAACTACACACCCCGAATACGACCGTAAGGAATTAAAAAAAAAAGCAAGTAACTTATGTGTTCTTACATCTATCCCATAAAACCGTTTAAACTACACACAATTAGAAAGGTAATTAATTTGGCTTTACATATTATTTTTTTAATTTCACGCGGACGGAGTCGCGGGGAAAAGCTAGTGTTTCCTATACAAAAATATAAACATTATTACCTAGGCTCGACTAATTTTCTGTCTCCGACGAGTAATTTCGGTGGGTGCAGCACTTTGGCATCCACTTCTAAGAATTTATCAGAGATCTGAAGACCGAAGTGTTTGAAGAATGGATTCCCACTGTAATTCATCTAAAACAACATAAAAAAAAATAAACGTGCATAATATTAATGGACATTACTGCCAGAAAACAAACTACAAACAATCCAAAATAACCGCTGTTAAAAATTTGCAGGTAACTTTTTACAACCACATAAATGTGAGTATAAAATGGCTTAACTAGATTTGGAGCGGGCGCAAACCTTTGACTAAACTATCGCACGACTGTTGCCAATTCAACTGTTTAGTTGCACAACTAAAAATTGAGTTGTGTGTGCATATTCATATAAGCTCATAGGAATCAAAGCGAGATTAAACAGTTGGACGATATTTTTATCAAAGATGCACGCTCTTAGTTCAATTAAATCCAAGATGGCCGCCGTTACACATTTTTTTAAACTTTAGCTACAAAATAAAACTTACATCTTTGATGACCTCTTCAATTTTATTCTTACGAATGTTAGGAGGGGTCGCCGCTTCTTGAACCATTTTCGATAATTGAATGTCATTCAGCTGTTTCTTTAAAGGCTGCAGATTAAAAAAATATATATAATTTCAGTATAGATTACCATCATAGATAAATGTTAATTTATAATTGCTCGCGACTTTGTAAGCGTAAAAAAATAATACACGCACTCATAACATAGCTTTGTAATGGTGAAAAATTTTTGAAAGCGGTTCAGTAGTTTTTGAGTTATTTCAATACATAGAAAAGTCCAAAAATACAAATCCTTCCATTCAAAGTATAGAAGATTGAAAAAATCAATTCATATAAAATTCCAAGCGTACAAAACAAGCATATTTCAAAATAACAAAAAAAAAAACAAACAACCTGACTTAATTTAAAAACAAAATATTTAAAATGTAACTGGCTGACAATATTATTGTCTATGGATTTCATTCAAAAACTGTTATGTTTAAATTGATACAAACATGTCAGCCAGTCTAAACGGTAAAATTATCCATTGTTTTATTATAATTTCTTATTTCTATTGAAATAGACTACAAAATGTTATTCTCACCTGTCCGTATGCAACATCCAATAATTCCATTGGGAAATATAAACTCTTATTTGCTGGTCCCACCCACAAGCAGTTGAGGTCAGGATATCTTAGTCTACAAACAAATTTAAACAAAATATTAAACACTAGCTTTCGCCTGCAACTCAGTCTGCATGGAAATGAAAGAAAAAAAAAACAAATAACCAATGTGTTCTTCCAGACTATCCTTTACATCTATGACAAATTTTATTGAGATGCCTTCAGCCGTTTAGGCTACAAACTCTAACAAATATTCATCCATCTATACTTTTTCATTTATATGTAAAATTAATTGGTAATGGTTACAAGGATAAATAAATAAATATTCAACATATTGAGCTGACTGCAAGCCGGTTCACTGATTGGCGGTCATCAATTTTATTTAGGTGCCCATGGCTATTATCTTATGTTAATACTGGTAATTCAAATTCCGTAAATAACGGGAACTACATTATTTTTTAAATTTTGTAAAAATTGTGAACATTTATTACATCACTTTCTGATATGCGTAAATGAATTCCATACTTTTCCATACAGGAAGGATTTTTAGTTCTGGTCCACTTTGACAAAACATACAATTCGTGATATTGTATAGAAAAAGTAATGAAATAATAATATGAGAAAAAGTAGTGAAATTAACGAGTATTCAACATAAAATATGTGTGTCTGTCAGAGAGACATTTTTGGACTTAACAATCTATACTTCTATACTAATATTATAAAGCGTAAACACACACTACTTCGTGGCGTAGGATGTCAGCAATCACAGCATGTTTTTGAATAATTCTTTCTTTAATAAAAATCCCTATACTTACGACACGCTATAGGGCATATATTTTCACGCTATTAAACTTAGGGGGTAAATAAAAAACTTTTATGTGGGAAAGGGACCATAAACTAAAAGCTGCCAACATTAAGGAAGCAAGGTTATTATGGTAACGGTAATTTTGACATTTGCTATTGAGAATTTGACAAATGTAAACAATAAAATAAAGTTTTTATGATTTCATCAAAGCCGCACAAGAACAGATAGTTAATCTTAAAAATACCTATATCTCTTGTCCCTGACGAAGTAATCGAGGACGGAGATCTTCTCATTCCGTCCATCGGGGTGTGTCATATTGAAGAAGAGGCGGGCGGGCGGCTCCACCACGCGGTTGCAGATGAACTCCCGCCGCTGACCCTTCGTTGAAGTATCCGCACCGATTACTGCAGTCACCTGCAAATTATTCATTTTACAACCTTTACGTTCAAGGAAATCCGCGGTGTTATTATGGAAAAAATTATTCCTATACTAGGTGTTGCCAATGATTTTGTCCGAGTTAAATAAAAGAAATAATAAAAAAATATAAGTTATGTTACACTGATAACGAAACTTTAAAATGGTTATAGTGTTTTTTAAATTCGCTCAGTAGTTTTTGAAATATTAAAACTTAAACTAATACAAATCTTTCCTGTTTATAATACTAGCTTTCGCTCGCGACTCCGTCCGCGTGGAATTAAAAAAAAAACAAAAGTGAGCAGCCTATATGTTCTTCCAGACTATCGTCTACATCTGTACTAAATTTCACCGAAATCCGTTCAGCCATTTAGGCTACAAACTCTAACAAACATCCATCCATCCATCCATCTAAACTTTCGCATTTATAATATTAGTTAGATTAGTTAGATTGGTATATATAGATTAGTATAGATATACATCTATATCTGTACATACGTACAGTGGCGGAAATCCTTGGTGTTCTTATGGAAAACATGCTTTATTCTTTATGAGATAAACTCCGTTTAAGGTGGAACATCGCTTGATTCCCCCATTGTACATGCATTTATCTTTATTTACATTTTTTTTCATAACTAATATCACTTAATATGGACAAACATGGACAGTGGATTCAGGCTTTGTTCTCGTTTGTTCTTGTTGTTACCTTACCTTACCTTATTCGTTTGTTACCATATAAAAAAGCTAATAAATATACTAGATAGTGCTTACCCTTAAGCCCTTAATGTATTCATGAAACAATTCCACATTTCTAGGGCTGCGTTGATGTTCCAAAGGCCTGGTAGGATCCAAACGAAAATCGTTGGTGAAGGCTTGTATCATTGATTGTTGTTTAGGGAAACCCTTGTGAGCAACTGAAAACAAAAAAAGATATTATGAAGATTGATTATAATTTTTTTAATTAATACTTATTAAATTGGTATATTAGGAACTAGCTGTTGCTCGCGACTTCCTCTATGTGAAATTAAAAGGAAACAATAGACAGCCTATGTTACGCAGTGATGTGTAGTTTTATGTTATTTCAATGTATACAAAAATCCCATTATTTCCTCTTGATAATTTACTAGCTTTCGCCCGCTACTCCGTCCGCGTGGAATTAAAAAGAAAACAAAAGTAAGTAGCCTATGTGTTCTTCCAGACTGTCCTCTACATCTATACCAAAATTCATCGAAATCCGTTCAGCCGTGTAGGCTACAAACTCTAACATCCATCCATCCATCCATCTAAACTTTCATATTTGTAATATTAGTATGAAGTATGATATTAGAAATGTACACTGATCTGAATAAATGGATAGGTCATTGGAAATATATTTTGTTTCATTCCAACTTAAATGTGCCTGTTTATGTTGACAGTTAAAAATTGTATTATTAGATAGAATGCTCACTACCACGACCGATCGCAACCGTGAGCGCCAAAATACTGGGTGTCATAGCTTATCTATTTATAAAAGTCATGTTAAATCAAGGAGCTTTGTCTTAAAATTTCACTTATATGTACATAATAAGAAGTGTTTATATAATTATTAAAGAAAATCCGACTGAATGTATGTGAGAGCGAAGTCATTTTCATCTGTCTAGATTTTTTTTTTTAAATAATAATGAGTACATATTTCCATATAGTTAACATACCATCAATGTTAATATACGACTTGGATGTAAAGATGGCCGACTGGAAGAGTCCCGTCCACATTTCCAAACCAAAACCGAGATCAACAGGGTTGTGAGGTCTTCTGAAAAATTGCTTCCCAGCCTGAAAAAAAAATAATCGATTTATTTCAGATAACAAAGATCCATAAGGTGTTACTGTTTAAATTTTTAAAACTAGTATTAGGAGAATATACCAAATGTGATTTTCTAAAGATAAAAAAAAAACAACAAAACATGTTTACAAATTGTTTCTAGAACTTTTTTCGTATATTTTTATTACCTTAACATATGACTCAAGAGTCCCCTGTCTCAATATCACATCAATACATTGTATAGCTTCAGTTGGGGGGTTCAATGAACTACCGCCATTCGCCATATGCCTGTAAAGAAACAAACAAAACATTACTAAAGTATTTGTAACATATTTTGCTGAATACTGACACATTTAAATTTAATACATCTTTTGTCTTTAAGTCACATTTATATTTTAACTTTTTTTTAATTTTTGTTGTAGTGATGGTTGGATTAAATGTTTTTTTTTTTATTTTAAACCTTACTAATCATACTACAGTAGACCCTCGATAAGTTAAAGTCCAAGGGAAACAAAATATTTTAAGTTGTAGAGGTTTTAAGTTATCAAGGGTCTATGTTATAGAGGTTTTGGGCTCTGATAGGAAGGGAATATATTATTTTTTGAAGTTATAGAAGTTTTTAAGTTACCGAGGTTTGAGTTATCGAGGTTCTACTGTAATAATAATGAAAGAACACATAGTCTACTCGCTTTTGTTTTTTTTACTCGACGTGGACGGAGTCGCGGTTGAAAGCTAGTAAGAGTATAAAAGCAAATACTCTTAGTTCAATTTGGTATGCCTTGTTTAATAAAAATGAACTTTAATCTACTAAAATTTTAAAGTCCGTAAGATAAGCGGCGCTTATTAAACGAAGTGTCTGATACTCGTTTTAATAATAATAACAATGTTTTCTTAATAATTATACTTTCTAATGCTGTTATTAGGCTTCTGACATAGACACGTAAAATAAAACCATAGACAATAAATTCCATTACAAAAGAGTGAAATCTATCCTACTATTATTAAGAGATTTGTATTTTTGGATCCTTATATGTATTGTAATAACTCAAAAACTACTGTTACAATTTCAAAAATTCTTTCTCCAATAAAAAGCTACGTTATCGCTGAGTAACGTAGGCTATTTTTTAATTTACGTGGACGAAGTCGCGAGCGATAGCTATGTGTAAAAATAATTTCTCATTTCCATTGAATTTTGGACTTTTGCATTTTTCAAAGGCCCCGTTAGTTATATACTAAATACTCACTGTCCCAAGCGATTTAAATCAACCAATCCAGTATACTTGAATGACACTTCAATTGCCATTGGTTTACCATTGTTGTCAATTAATTCCACCTGAAAATTATGAATATTTTTTTTATTTTGTATAGGGAACCAAGTTATCAAGTCATGTAAGTGTTAACATATTAAAAATTCGTAAATAAAAGCGTCGGTGGCTCAGTGGCTTGAGCACTTGACTTGTAATCTACAGGTCTTGGGTTCGAATCCCGTCATGTACCAATGTGATTTTCGATTTTTTCGAATTTTCATATATACATAATTTACCCGACGTTCTTACGGTGAAGGAAAACGCGATGCAACCTGCACATATCGGTGAAGAAATTCAAAGATATGTGTGAAGTCAACCAACCCGCACTTGGCCAGCGTGGTTGACTATGGCCTAGTCACCCTAACTTTAGGGTAGGCTCCGAGCCCCTCGGTAGGGACGTATAGTGAGCTGATGATGATGATGATGATGATGATGATATTAAAAATTAAAACTAAGCTCAATTACAATAGCTAGGTAGTTCTTAATTGTCAATGTTTAAAATTGCATCAAGATTTGTCAGAATATCTCGTTATTTTATCAACGGACCAAATATGTCATACTATAAAAACCCTTATATCAATGGGCCAGTTATATTTTCGCACTACAAGTTAATGTCACTTACGTTAATAGCATATCTATCAGTTTGAGTAACGCCAGCCAATGGTTGAATGCTGTAGCAATTCTTCATTTGATCAAATGCAATTACATTATTTCTGAACTTCAAAGCCTTGGCTTTCAGAAATGCTTGTGGTATCATCTTTTTCGGTTTGTCCGGTTTAAAACAAACGTCATAACGATGCTGAAAAGTAAATCAGAATGGTTAAGATCTAACCCAAGTTCTCCATTCAATTTTAACACGTTAAACGCCATGGGGTCACCGGTGACCTCACACTTCCTCTATCATAGCGCCATGGGGGTCATATTATCGTCATATTCAAACTACTTTTTCTCGCTGCCGGCCATTCTGACTGTTACTTTATTTGTACTTTGTGACAGGCTCGGCGCTGTAGAACTACTGCACAGTGGGACAAATATACCTTGTAAAGAATTGAAAAAATTGAAAGATAGCGAAAAAAGTAACCAGAATAAATATTAATAGTAAAATAATAAACAAATTACGACCAAAAGTATTTTTACGATTTTTCAAGACTCGAAGACTGATGAATACTACTAGTCATAACATAATAGCTTTTGATAAACATAAATGTGACTTATATTTCAAACACATCCATATAACAATGCACCTTAAAAGACTATCATGAAAACTTGACTACTTACTACTTTTATATAATTGATGGTCATTGGCAAGTAATTTGTCAACAATCTAATAGCTCTCGAGGGTACCGTCCCGCGCCTTATGGCATCTGGTATCTTGTATTGCGTCACAGCCTGAGAAACAGTTTGTTGGTCACTGGGTAAGTCTTTTTTACCAAAAGTGGACTGTGACACTGTCGAAACTGGAATATATTTGGGCTCTGGAGCCTGACTCGGGCCTCCAAATGTTTGGGGTTCTGAAGGACTCATTGGTGTTGATGATGCACTGCGAATTGGCTGGGGAGCTCCCCATGAGGTTACCGATTGGGGAAAATGCCCAGGTCTATGTCCCCGGCCTCTCCCAGTGCTTGGTCTTGGTCCAGGAGCACCTGGCTCACCATAACCCATTTGAGGAGGCCAAGGGCCGGATTGTGGTGGTAGGGACCGAGCAGAGCCACCGCCTCGCCCCCATCCTCCGCCTGATTGACCAGGTTGTGGCATTTGTTCTGCAATTTCAGCTATGGGTTGAGCCAATTCAGTGACTTTTATTTCGGACGGTGTAGTTTGTGATGGCGCAGTCTCCGCTGTGGCAACTTGCGCTTGGACAGCACCCTTCTTTTTCCGTGGCTTCCGTCTCTTCTCACCAATATCTAAACCGAGCCCTTCTGCTTCTTTATCAATTGTTCCTGAAGTGTCTTTTGGTGCATCTGGTTTTAATTCTGCAGTGCTAGATGGCACTGAAACTACATCTTCTGATCCTGATGGAGTCGGTTCACCAGTTTGTTGCTCAGTACTTGATGATGGTTGTTGTTCTGCCTCCTTTTTTTGACCCTTTTTCTTTCCTGTAAATTTTTGTTTTTGTTAGTGTTAAACCAGTTTATAGTTTAAATTACAAGCTGAAAAATCAAGCACATATTTTAATATGTTACTACTTTTGATACTTATGTACTAATTTAACTTTACAGTAGAGTTATAGATTGATGGATGTGGGCAGCACATGACCAGGCATTGTGGCAATTGATGGGGGAGGCCTATATTCAGCAATGGACAAACTCAGGCTGACAATGATGATGATGGTGATGATTATATTGATAGACAAGCCTCATTTATAAAAAACATACATGATTTTTTTCTTAGCCATTTATTATGTTATTTTAACAATTATAGTTGGTTGTTAATATATGAAGACCAACAAGCTTAATACAAGTAACCATGAAGTATAAATCATAAATGCATAAATCTACTACCATAAAGAGCAATTTAAAATAAACAAGTTATAAATACTTGTAAAATTTTATTTATTATGCTAAGCTCATATGAGTGTGATTTTAACTTGACTGAGCAGGTAAATTAACTAATTTAATATACTTGGTTCATATGTTGGAAAAAACATGTATGTAATAATATTATTCAGTACTTTAGAACAAAACCCTTTCTCATCTTCAGAAATTTGTTTTGTCCATAATTTTAATTGTCCAACTTATGCATTTTGCAAACTGGAATCATAAAAATTGTTAAATGTTGTTATAGCAAGTTAAAAATGGTATAACAAGTATTAATTAGATACTATGATTTAATAATCAGAAACAGCTTTATTACCACTAATTATTAGTCTCAAACAATAACAAACTTCCCAAATTAAATTAACATTATTTTTCTCTCTGTGGTTTATTCAAATCTCAATTCATCGGATCAAAAGTTATAGCAAAAGTACAATATTTTGTAATAGTTAAATTATGAAATAAAAAAATATATGTGTAAGTAAACATATCACTGGAAATTTCCTGAAGCTTGCTTAAAAGATACACAGAATCAACCATTAGTTGTAACATTATTCCTAAATTAAAAACATACCTCCTTTCCCCATGTTTAAGCAGTTTCCTGAAACAAATTTTAAAAAGTTTAGTTGTCTTTCAGTGAAAAGGAAATTTTAATATAAGTTAAATTAGCAAGGTAAATTTACTTTTTTAAGTCTCAAACGATTATTCTTAAATATTACATGTCCTCTGACGGCCAAATACTGAAACATCACTTAAATATGTAAATGTAACAGCATCTTAAATGATAGGGCCATTCTTAATTCCTTATAAATTTTAACAACCATCAGATTGTAAGCGGCGCACACAGAGCAAAGTATTATATTTGTAGTGTACTGTTCTATTTATCTATTGTTTTACTTGTTTCAGTATTCAGTCATAAAATTACATCATCTGAACTTTAAATTATCTTATTTTAAATTTCGAACATTTTTAGCTGCATACATTAGCTATAAAAAATAAAATAGCCTATCATAATATAATTATATTGTAATGTAGTCATAGTTACATATATGATATTTGTATTTGTCATGTAAATGCAAGAAAACAAATAATTAAATTGGAAAATAGTAACCTTCTGACGAAGAAAGACATTAAATAAATAATTCAAACAACATTTTTGCCGTACTAATCGATAAAAACAACAAAATGTCGGCCATCGGTTCCCCTATAGACAAAGAATTGAATATCGTAATAATTCGCAAATTGTGCTAAACATCTATAAAAAAGACTTCAAATTATAAATACTAAACACTACAACATACATTTCATAACTCACAAGTACCTTGAGGGCATGAAATTAAAATCTACAGCAAGTCTAATAAACGCTACTCCATAGCAGAAATTTCAACAATACGCTTAACTTCTTAAGTATAAATACTTACAACGCTTGGATCTAGATCACTATAAATTTCGATACAAACACGAATTAAATTTCACAGAAGCACAATTATAAATTACAAGACACGAATTTGCAACTTGATATTGATATTGTGAAATGTAAAAATACTTCATTACTTTACTTTATGTGAAATTGTTATGTCAAATTGGAAATATAAAAAGTATGAATTAACCAATCATAGACAATTTATAATTTTTACAAGAACCAAAAGCTAACTAGAAAGTGAATGTTTAAGGTTTACGCGTATTGCTCCACTTTTCGCCCACTAAACGAAAGTGCCTTGTACAACCGATTGCGGCAAGACTGTTAGAAACTATACCTCTATTTCGCTCAATCGGCGACTACGCGGCGGTGACAAGACGGCGCGGCGACGAGTCGGTGAGCGAACCTTACTAAAACAGACGTCGTCATCGCTCCTTTGCGTGGCCGCAAACTGGACTAGTGTGCGACAACCTTTACAATTTAATAATTTTGGCCATACTCCCTGACATCGATTGTCTATATTAACGGCAATGATCAACACTGTATACTCTTTGATATAGTGTCGTTGACATTGCAGAAGTAAAATTAATCTACTCTTTGATTCATCTATGACCATGATTGATTTGTGATTTTGTGACTGTATTGTGTGTGAGAATTGTGGTGAAGTTGTACTTCTATTGGACTTGAATTCAAATTACAAGGAGATAGTCATTGTATTTATAAAATTGTCGATTTGTTTTATGGCCTTGTCGCCACAGCATTAAGGAAATAGCAATTAAAATTTCATTCTAAGTGCAAATCATCAAAATGTGTGGCGGATTCACTTGTTCTAAGAACGCTTTAATTGCCCTTAATGTTCTTTATGTGGTAAATTTAAAAATACTTTGCAGTTACGTGTGATATTTGCGTTGAAAATTTAATTTATAATTACAATTTTAGGTGGTGGCGTCTATTCTTATATCCGTTGCAGTATACGGACAAGCATCCTCCCTGGTAACTAATTTACCCATTGTGGGCGGGATTCTTGCTTGTGGAGTGTTCCTAATATTAATATCCTTGCTGGGCTTAGCTGGAGCGGTCAAACATCATCAAGTTATGCTCTTCTTTGTATCCTTTTGTAAAAAATCGTAAAATGAACACATTGCTACAAAACAAAATATACTTTCTCTTTGTGAGAAAATCCTTTATGACAAAAGATGTCAAGGTTATGTTACTTTTACTAGATCATAACACTTATGCTTCTAAAACAAAAAGGACATTCACCAATTTAAACTATGTTGTTAGTAATGCTTTATAAGGTGAATATGATTTTTACTTTCTCATACAATTTCCTTCATCAATATTTCCATTGAAAATAATACTCAAAGAATGATTTACAAATATGACGAAATGTTATTAACGTTTAAAAACAATCCATTTTAAATTTTATTGTAATACATTGTCCTGTTGTATAAATTATTTGTAAGAGTAATTGTCCTTTATAGATTTGTAGGATTCAATTATTCTCTATAGGAAAATTTCGAAGAGTAATAAACCTTTAACTCCTTTTATCAGTACATGGTGATACTGTTTCTACTATTTCTTGTTCAATTTTCTGTAGCATGCGCCTGTCTTGCAGTTAATTCCGATCAGCAAGAGATGCTAGCTCAACAGGTGGGTTAATACTGTTTTAATCAATTCTAAGTCTTGTGTTTTTTACATATTTTTTTATTTATAAGGTTTAAGTTTTTGTATAAGATTGCTATAGGGCTGACTAGTTGTAAGGAACCAAAGTCCCTATAAAAAAAAGAAAAAAAGTCTAGTGTTTACATTCATATCTACTACTAGAGGCTACAATTTCTATAACTCCACAACCAACACATATTTTATTTGGTTAGTTTACATCAATTATTTTAATATGTATGCCACTCATCCAAAGTAGAAACACCCTATTCATTTTTAAAACTTATTATACAAGTACAAGAAAGGAAAAAATATTATAGTTAAGAGAGCCAAAATATTGTATGTATTAAAGTGACTGGTGCAAGTTGGAGCAATGTCCTTAAGATTTTTTGTCAAGTGACTGTGTAAATATTAAAAATGAAAACAGTAGATTCTCTTAGTAACTACTATCAAGACTGTACAGTTGCAGTGGTTGGATAAATATAGACTATAATGTCCTTAAGTTATCTCCTTTGTTAATAAGATAAACAATCTATATTTGGCTGTAGACATACATGGTAGATTCGCAAGAATACAAATACAATAGCTTTCGCATGTGACTCTGTCTAAGTAGAAATTAAAATAAAAGTAAGTGGCCTATGTGTTCTCTAGTAAGATAAATAACATTAATCTATACAAATACGATTTTTTTTCCATTTTTACACTTTTATACTACATTGTACATTTATGGATTCATTAGACAATATGCAGGTATAAGCTGAAACAATCATTTAGTGTACTTAACACAAATATAACTGCTTTAACATAAAGATGTTTTATTAGTTTTTTTTTTTTCATTTATAATCTACTTATTGTTATTTTTATAAGCACAATACTATTCTACTTAACTTACTCAGTGCATCTATAAATTTTAACTAATATATCATACTAAGTTTGTTAGAGTTTGTAGTGTAAACAGCTGAGTGAATTCGGATTAGAAAACTTGGTATAGATATAGAGGATAGTCTGAAAGAACACATAGGCTACTAACTTTTGTTCTTTTTTTAATTCTATGCGAACGGAGTCGCAGGCGAAATCTAGTTACTCAGAAAACATGGCTTACCTCATGTGACAACCTTCAGTGTAGGGACAATCACATAATTAACACAATTTACCTAATGAATTGTAATGATGTAGGGATGGAACAAAGTGAATATGGATGTGAAGGAGCAAGTACAGGAAAGGTTCAAATGTTGCGGTTTCCAGGACAGACATATCCCTGCCAATGGTACAGCCGATTATCCTTCTTGTGATGTTATTGATGTAAGTGCATGATTGATAAAATCATTATTTATTAGAACGAATTTGTTAATCTAAGTAGCCTAATTGGTTTAAAAATGTAATATTAGTTGTGCTCTGTATTGCGTTTATTATTTGATTTATCTAAAAATGAACAATGGTATGTTTTTTCCCCTTTGTGTACGGACTTCGGCTAACATTATTAAATCATCTACGAAATTAAAAATGCAAGCATTTGAATATTTATTATTTATAAAAATGTATTTTTTTCTTTACTCTTTACTTATTTCTAGAGGGTCTGTTGCAATGGTTTTATAATCTCACCGAGGTGTCGATGTGAACCATGTATGGAGACATTGAAAGAGAGAATTGATTCTGCATTCAAACTCTGTGGTGGTATTGGATTATTCTTCAGTTTCACAGAGGTATGTGTTTCATATTTCTTTTAACACATTTCTTATAATAATTCATGTGTCCTGTAGTTTGCTTGTAACTTTGAATAATTTCTGTACCTTTTTCTTCATTAACTATCATAACACATTTGAATGGAATGGTTTGTTTTTTAGCATACACTTCAAATTAATTTATTTAAGGCCAGTCCCACCAAATTGTAATTTGTCTGATAACAATCCAGCATGTAATATGTGATGGAAATGTCGGATTTTGTTACCTTATCTAATAATGACGTCATTTTTAAGCTATCTGAGCCTCTTATCAGCCAGTGGAGGGATAGGCCCTTAATATTGATATCTTGGTAGCAATATTTTAGTTACTCTTATTATTTCACTGCGAAAATGAGACTATGTTTAATATTGATATTTTGATTTTTAAAGTTATTAAGTTAATTATTCTGAAACAAATAATAATAAGTCTAATTGAGAATCAAAAAATGTTTTTTTTATTAAGTGCTATTACTTCCATATGTTATTTCAAAGGTACCCATTGTTCTATTTTGAATTATCGTTTTGCTTTTTGTGTATAACATCCATATACCATAACATTTTGTATTGTGATTTTTTTACATTGTGCTGTGTAAATAACATTTCCAGATCATTTACAGTACAGATAATGTTTTTAATTGGAAAATTAACTTGTTACATTCTGTAAGATTTTATCGTAGGATTGTGAACTTGCCAGGCGAGTAAGTGAACGCGTTAATGGCGCATGGGATTTTGTGACTAACTGTTGGGCGTTTTTCCAGTTTCTGGGTGTTTGGTTGACAGTACGATATCGTAACCAAAAGGATCCGAGAGCTAACCCGAGCGCATTTCTGTGAATAACCTTGGCTAATGGACATTGAGTTTTAAGGTGGATTGTATATTGGTGTGCTTTGCTTTAACAGGCACTGCATGTTGGAAGCATGCTTAATGCTAGGTTTTGTGTTTAGTGATGTAAAGGACCATTCGCTTTTTAATTTTTTTCTATAACTCCTTAATTTTGGTTAAAGTATTCAAGTTAAGATTACTTAACAAATCACCAGAAATCTAATTCTAGAGGGTATACATTCATTGGTTATAGTTTTTTTAGCAAAAAAAAAATCGTCTAAATTAATTAAGTAAATATTTTTTAATTAATTGTTCGTCACACTGGAGGCTATCAAATTATAAGTAAAATCAAAGAAAATTAAATGACAGAAATAAATGTGCTGCAAAAATAAGTCCTTGGGTTGATAAATGAGATTATTACAATATATTTGAAACGCAAAAGATTCTAGAAGACGCAATACATATATAAATAATGTAAGATAAAGTATCACTGAATGACGCGGGCAACGTATTTATGTTTTGTACTGACTGTTTGCCTTTAGAAAACATGGCTATGTTTACACGACAATATTTATATATAGGTATCAATTTTTAAATCCAAGTGTTTGTTAAATTGTTTAATCGTACAATTGACTCGACAATGTGGTGATTGTTTTATTTAAAATGCAAATTTTCGATTTTACAACAGGGGAATTCTAGAAAATTCTATTCTCTATTATTTGCTGAAATGTAATATTACTAATAGTACTATAATTGTTATTTTTAAAGGTAACATTTAAAGGCCTTAAACAATAAACCTTTTGTTACTGACAAAAAATCCGTACAATATAATTGTAGCTCAGTTTTTTTTATTGGAGGTTATTTTTTTTACTGGAACAAAAATGTTTTTTTTTAATTAGGGAAATGAGAAGGATAATTAAATGTCATTGTTTGAATGTTTGCTATTTGCCTATATTAACATCAGAATTTAATAAATGCTTTGAGGCCTATGTTGCTGACATAAATTGCATGAATGTCTATAATTGTAATAAATTAAAAAATAATTGCATTGCATGACGCACGCACTTTTCTATAATTAATACCGTTACTTAATTATTGTGTTTTATTCAATAAATAATAAAATTACTTTTCGCTTTATTAAACAAAAAAATGCTCAAGCATTTTTGGCCTTGTAACAAAAGAACACATCACCATTTTTTATTATAAGGAATTAAAAAAATGATGATTTTTTTTCAGTTATTTGCTGTTTGGCTCGCCCGCCGTTACCGCAACCAGCCAGACCCCAATTACAAGGAACCGCACGCTATCTTCCCCAGAAAAAACTATCTATACTGATCCGTTTATTGTAGCCAAATCTTATAGGTTGTACCGTAGTGTTCATACAGAGATTCAAAAAATATATAGACGAAGCATAGTTGACACTTCACTTGGAACATTTTACACATAATCCCCTAACGATTTCTATTGATAGGTCTTTAAAGCCACAAGTCAATATAATAATTGTATTGAAATTATTTGCCAATAGGTTAAATAAAATTTGAATGATTCTGTTTTTTGTAACTCTGTTTAGTTTGTTTTTTAACAAAAGACGGAACTTATATTTTTGTAATTTTTTTTTTATGTCGCAATATTCCCAATCGTCACCTCGCTCTGTCCATACGTGGGGATAGATGAGAATAAAAAGTTTTATCCGTCCCAACTTTTGCGACGAGGGGACGGTTGGCACTTTCATAACGGTTCCAACTGTCACCTTATTGGTGATAGTGGGACTAAAAGGTGGGACGGGTGAAACGTTTTATTCTCACGCGGGGACAGAGTGTGGTGACGGTTGGGAATAATCCTATATGTCAGTACAAGAATATGAGGTGGCGTACTAAACTTGACAACCAACATAGTACCTTTCAAAGAAGTTACCGGTGAAAAAATGTTCCCTATGTGTAGTCTATATATTTTTTAAATGTCCGTGATCATATGACTGGTTTAGAATATGTGATAATATAGTAATTACCTACTAGGAGAATTTATTCCTTTGACATTTTTGCAAAAATATCTAAAAAAATTTTCAAATAGCTTTTTTTGTAATTTTTGCTCCTCCCATAGTAAATTCATATATTAGATGACTTGCAGTGTAATAAATATGGTAGATAAGTCATAGTTTAAGGGAAGTCGTCAGTTCCTATATATTTTCCACATTTTATTATCAGCAATTTATTATTACACAAACGTAATAGTACTTTTGTGATAATTAATTTGATTCAATTTTGTAATGCTGTAGAAATGTTTTTAACGCTAACTAGTCCCGACTTTACTTGAGTTGACATTTATTGAAATGTTTTTTAATATACGAGCCGTTGCTCGCGACTTCGTCCGCGTGGAATTAAAAAAAAATATTAGAAAAAACACAGCTTATGTTCCTCAGTAATAATGTAGCTTTTAAATGATGAAAGAATTTTTGAAATCGGCCCAGTAGTTTTTGAGTTATACCAAAACATACAAAAAAGCAAATCTTTCTTTATTTAATAGTATAGATAACCTAATTTACTTACATATGTAATATTGGTGAATTAAATTTTTTGAGTTTATTAGTTACAAAAATAAATTAACTTAAGTTGATACAATAGTTACAATCAGTTTTACCAATCTGACCCAGTTATGAACCTTGACTCTTAAAATGCTATATTTTTCATTTAGTTCAAATTCATAAAACTTACGTAGAAATTAAATTTAAAGTCAAATTTTAAAAATGTAGCATACGCATTATGTACTGCTTTAATTTACTTTTAGGTATACTATGTAATTTTATTTACTCATTATAAATAATAATTTTAAGTTTAATGAAACACAACAAATCAAGTCATAATTTTATATTCAAAGGATAGCAAATGAAAGTGAAAGATTTTTTTATTGATTGGAACATGAAGGCGGCCTATTTTTTTAGAGCTAAAACTAAGTTAGAAATTGTTAAGACATCCATAAAATATTTTCTAACATTAAACTTGGAAAAATATGAATTAATTATCAAACAGATAAGTCAAGTTTAGATATAGTTTGAAGTAACATAATCAGGTAATATGTATGTATATTTTTGTAATTTTTCCATACAAGACATTTGAATGAAATTCTTGATGTATTTTTTAAGTAGTGATATTGTAATTGGGGTATAAAGAAATTCATGCTATTAGACGAGAATGGTATTGCAGGAAAATCGCATTTTTTGCGTTACTATGTCCGTAGAACCCATCGTTTGATCAATAGGAGGCTGGGGCGGTAAATGAAAGTAGACTATTCTTGTGCTGCAAATTTATTCTGCTAGTCAATATATTAGTTCGTTGTAAGTCACTCTTCCTTAGCTGCCAATGTTTCTGATTGTACGTCTTGACATTTGTACTATGCATAGTGTCATCTCTTTCATTCCCTTTGACAAAAGAGAGACAATAATACAAGTGTCAATTAGTCGAATTCTACGGTAATCCGTAAACCCCAAATCGCACGGGCGCCTTTTTAACGCTTGGCGTTCACTCTTTTTCTTACCCAGGTCATACAAACGCTTTAGAGCAGGCGCACACCTTTGACTAAAATATCGCACACTGTCGTACGATTGTCGTTTCCTAACAAATTCAACTGTTTGCACAAATAAATTCGATGTGCGTGCGATATAAGCTCACAGGATTTAAAGCGAGACTAAACAGTTTTGCGATAGTTTAGTCAACGATGTGCGCGCTTTTAAAATCACTTGTATCATTTTTTCATCGCATAAAATAATACGCGATAAAAAACGTCGCGTTTTACGCCGAAATAAGAACAGATACATTCAAATGGATTTGTTCTATTTCAACGCGCGTTATAAAAACGCCCGTGTGAATAGGGCTAAGAGTTGTGTGAATGATCTACATGAAACATAATAATTCAGATTTTGCCTATTTTTATATCTTCTTATTTTCATTTGCGCTATATTCAATACTTCGTTACAGAAATAGCTTTAATTAGTTAATTTTACCTGTGTAGTGGTGTGTTTTTAGTGTTTTTTTTAAATTTTATTTTAATATAATTTTTCTGTATAAACAATACTTTTCGAATATTTTATGCCATTTTTGCCAGTAATTTCAATATAATTTAGATATTTTTTGGTTCGTCTACATTTTATGATCATGTAATATTTTTAATTTCGGAATTTTTAGTATGTTATAAATAAAAAAATCATGTACATATGTAACTTCTTAATCTGTGAATAAATGGTATTGAGCATTGCACTTGTGTGATTTTTATTTCAAGCTCTTTAAAATTCCTGACGAATAACCGTCGACCATTAAAACGTTCGAATAATTCGAAGCCCCGAATTGTCATTTTTTTCGACCAAACAAGTAAAAGGAAACTTAAAATACATTTAAACATTTAGATATCTATAAATTAATTATTGTAACTCAAATTAAGCTTTTAGTTATGATAACCAGAATTAATATTAGAAATGCAGATATAAATTGGTAGTAAGTTACTTCAAAATCTACCCTTTTAATACAAATGGAAGTAAAAAGGTATTTATATTTTCATAGTCCTCGATAACGCATAAAAATATAGTAATTTGTAAAAAATCGACTGTTTACATTAGGTGAGGCTATCGTGCATTAGATAATACGCCTGACATTGTATCACATAGTTAACCAGCAAATAATCTTATCTGCTTTTGACATTTGGTTTTATACTAGACCATCTCGAATATTGTTCCCGTCGGCATCTTTAAAGCTACTGCGCAAGCTTTCGACGCATCCGCGCCCCGTTGCTGGGCGGAAAAGCTTAGTAGAGTTCTGGTTATTAGGGGGAACAAGTTAACATTGATCCATTATCTAACGTTAGCGTGCTGTGTTAGTGTTTACTACAATGTCCTTCGATAAAGATGAACTACGTGACGAGTGAGTATTAAAATATTTGTAATCTTAATATCTTATCATAAAATATGATTCAATGAAAATGATTTTGAACAAAAATGTCGTTTGTAGAGATTTGTTTAAACATTTGCTATACGATTATGAATTGTACACTCAAATCGATTATTTACATATTACTAATATAAATGCGAAAGTAGATGAATGCATGTTTGCGTTTGTAGCCTAAAATGCTGCACAAATCTCGATGAAGGCATGTTGTAGAGAATAGTCTGGAAGAATACATAGGCTATTTATTTAAGTTTAAAATTCCTCGCGCAATGAATCGCGGCAGGAAGCGAGTATCATTATAAATATAGTTATAAGCAATGCTTACAACAGAAACGTTTATTGGATAAGTAAACAATAAGTGGTAACATATAGGTATGTACATTTGTACAGTTATTCCACAACTGATGAATAAAAAGTAGGTGAACTTGACTTGACCTCTCTTCTGTCAACCTACTTAAGTTGTTAGAAAATCTTTATACAATTATGTGTGAGTTAGCAAAATTTTAAGTGCCTTCTAGATATACGAAGAGTGGAACGACTAACATTGTACTCGTATTTGATTAATGGTTCTTTAAGTTCTGCTTTTATTTAGTTTCCGACAGTTTAAGTGACACGTGCCTCTCCGTATACCGAGCCAAAAAGTAGGTTCAAAGGGAAGTTAATTTGTATTTAATTTCGATTAATTACTGTTTAATTTAGTCTGTGTTTTATAAATTCCTATTACTAATTTTGGAATGTAATAAATCTCTACTTTAACTATGTTTTTTTAATTACCCCACATGTTCAGCGACCGCTTGTAATCATGAAGAGAAAAGACTTTGAAACTTACAAATAAATGCGGTATAAAGTTAAACTTAAGAAGAAAAAAGTTTATTACTAAGTTTAATTTTATACCGCGTTTATTTGTAAGACTGTTTTAATTTAATTCGCAACGAATATACTCGTATTTGAAAAACAATTTTCGTGTAGACAATGTATATTTCTTGTTACCACGCCTTACTTTACCCTTGGGCTGGTCTTCATTACATTTACACATTGGGCACTCTGTTGCAGAAATGTATTTTAGGTTACGAAGGGAAAAGGTTGAATTATGCTAAGTAGATTAGGAGCGTTCTCAAGTCTTGAGATGTGAAATAATTTAAGAGATTAGTTCTACCTAGGCGTTGAGATTTCATTTTGAATCTTGTACATCTAAAAATACTTTATTAACGATTAACGTGATATATCATGCGTGATTTTTGTTATTATTTTTAAACATCAAGTAGCCTTTGAAACGAACTAGTATATTGTAGTTTCGAATTTTTAGATCGTCATTTTAATTAAAAACATTTGAACATATGATAGATTTTTTCTTTCAGAATCAGTAAAAAATACGAGTATGTAAAAGAAAAATGTTATTAAACCTTCAATTGTTTACGTATCGTGTACTTAGATTTATTTTTATTTATTTAACTATTTAAACTAAACAGAGATGCAATAATTTACCTTCATAGTATAATAAGTATAAAACCATAGATTTGAATCAGTCGTTTAGGTAATCGGGCGTAGCTGGCATTTTAACTATAGGAAATAAATTCACCACGGTATAGACGCTTGTCCTTGTAACTGTTACGGTTCATATTGATTTTCTTATCTGTTGACGGCTGCGTGGGCTATTGATCGAAATACGTGGCACGTAAGCGATGGGTCTTCACTTCGATTCCTAGCAAAAAAACATGAAGTTTTATAACTAAGCACCAAATTAGAAGAAGACTGAGCCTTGAGCCATCCGAAAGAAACAGTTAGTTTTTTTTAAGAGATTTTCATTTTTCAATATTCGTATTCGTTCACCTAAAAGATATTCTACTCTCTTACCCTCTTGCTCCTGTATAATAAAATCTAGTTAACTAAGTATATAAAGCTGGTATTGTATTAATTCAAGCAATATCAAGCCAAATAGAGATCGTATTCGTCATTTCGAATATACAACAGTTGCCTTTATAGGAAAATTATAATGTATAAATACGTTATTCATATCATATAAATATTATAAATGCGAAAGTTACGATGGATGTATGGATATTTGTTAGCATTTGTAGCCTAAACGGCTGAACGGATCTCCGTGAAATTTGGCACAGGTTTAGAGCATAGTCTGGAAGAACACATAGGCTACTTTTAATCCCAGGAATAGTTAGGGTTCCCGTGGGATTCAATAATTTAGTTTTTTTCTAATACCACGCGGACAAAGTCGCCGGCAACAGCTAGTAACTTTATAAAGGCAATGAAATTTGGAGCAACCACTTTCTTAAAGGCATTAATTAAGGCCTTGAGCGAGGGTCTTCTGATTTAATTAATAATACTGTTGAAGAGGGTCCCTAACGCTTACTATGGGTCTGATAATTCCTTTCCCTGTTTTTAATTATAGCTGTACAAATATTGATATATCTATTACTTTAATTTATGTATATTCCGAAAGAGATATATACTTGGTGAGAAAATTAAACATTAAAAATTATCGTAGTTAAAATATTCCTGGCTTACCTGTCTCTTAAAATTTTATATGAATGTCATTCAGATTGAACTCGTCCAATTATATTTGAAACATTTCAATGTATGTAAATGCAATTAAATGTAACTAGATTGTCTATCATGGTGTCTTTAAACCACTTTTGCATGTCAATTGTTTTTATCATAAGATACAGAAACAAAATTGTTAATAAATATTTGAAATAATCGTAAGAACTTACAGCGTTTCGTATTTACTGCAAAGGTCAAATTGTGACGCTCAACCGATATCGAGATTTTTATCCAACAATAATTACTACTCCTCGTATCGTCTATGCTTTAGAACTATTTGTTTATCAAATACGTTATAATTAAAAATTACTTTTACAACAGTTATGTTTAAAAAAAGCTTATGAAGTAGATCTTTACTTGAATACTCCACAGAACTTTGTTCTATCGCTAACCAAAAGTTTGTAATCCTGATTGCATCACACTTGCAAACAATCATAAAAAGATACGAAGTCTTACTTAAAGCAATAAAACACTTACATTATGAAATGTGACTATTTTGTCCAAAATCAATTGAAAAATAATTTTTTCCCATGAAATACCGGACAAATACCGGAATCAAACCTACGATCTGTCAGTTTTAAGGTTATCTAAGTGCATCTTGCGCAGTCTGGATAGACAGATAACATTTTATATAATACACCACGTTGGGTCTAACGTGACACACAATAAGGAATTATTAAATTAAACAATGCCTAGACTTTATTATACAGTCTAGGAAATTTATTTCCTATCCATTTTGATGAAATGACAATTACAATTAGCTCGGCAACATACTTGAAGTGGTTATTTATAACTCTTATGGTAATTGCGATACAATATTCGGTCTTATATGTTACGTGGGGAGCGAATTTAATTCTGTGACAGTTCCTAACCTGTACAATCTATCTTACACACATCAGATGTTATGTTTTGCTCCCTTGTTAGTAGCGAACAGTTACTCGCTTGTGAAACGCAGTTGTGAGTGAACGCAGTGAGTGTTCTAACAATATTCCGTGTTGTTGTGCTGTAAATATTGATTTAATTTGTTTTTTATGATATTTAATTTTCTCATTAATGTTGTGAAAAAGGTAAGTAATTCATTTGTTTATTAATTCACGTAATTTTATTTTAATTTCCTATTAAGTGAACAGTACATAGATTTTTATTTTAATTCGATATTATTACGTGTTGCATTTTTACAAATAATTAAATGTTTGATAATTACATTTTAAAACATTGTAATTTTTGTCATAAATAAAATTGTAAAACTGTTTGTGATATTAGTTATAAATAATGTTAATGAAATTGAACGGCTGTACATTACTAAAAAATGTATTTAAAAATATTGGTACACAATATTGAATGCTAGACATTTCCAGTTGTAACAAAGATCGCTTGTGAGTTGTGGAATGCAGTTCTTATATGACCTTGTCACAATGTTTGCAAATAAACTGCGAGCATAACTTTTAGAAAGTTAATAAGCAATTTAACCTTTAATAGAATCGTTACGTTTATATTGACTTGAGATTTATTTAATAAACATAAAACAAATTTAGAATTTAAAGTTTTTAATGGCTTCCAGAATATATTAGACAACTATAGTAATAACTATGACTAGTCTAATTGAGATATAAAATTAGATTTGTATAATGTCACAACAAGAAAAAACTGCATACATATGTATTGTAAAATTACAATTAGTTTATTTTAAGTGCTCGTAAAAGTAGTGATAGGCAAATGATAGTTCAAATTTTCTTAACTTTAATCAAAGATTTAATTATAGCCATTCAAATATTGTCTAGTCAAACATTAATAAAACAAACATAATTCGTGTCTTAAACAAGGTTCTAAAGCATCATAAAAAGTTTATCAGATTATTTTTTGTTTTAGTTTGTTTTTTGAATATCAAAGTTTACAAAATGCCGTGCAATTGCGAAGATGATAATGGAGTGCCGATGCATCAAAATGGCTGTCGACTAACAGCTGGACGAAGCACGCTTCAACAAAATGGATATCGACATAGGATACACGAAAATGGAAGTTCAACGAGCGAAGAAGTGGATCCGGACCTAGTTAGGTTGATACACTATTTTAAGTCACCAAAAAAAAAACAAAGTAGCCTTGAAAACTGTTTTTTAATATTTAAGTGTGTTAATTCATTTTCTAAAATTACATTTCCAGTTGTCGCTGTGTTTCCCTATCATACTAATATAATAAATGCGAAAGTTTAGATGGATGGATGGATGGATGGATGGATGTTTGTTAGAGTTTCTACCCTAAACAGCTGAACGGATTTCGATGAATTTTAATGTAGATGTAGACGATAATCTGGAAGAACACATAGGCTACTCGTTTTTGTTTTTTTTTAATTCCACGCGGACAGAGTCGCGGTTAAGAATCTAGTTATTTAATAAAAAAAATTCAACATTCTACTACATTCTTCATATTAGTATATTTTGCCTATTCGACCTATGTTAATATTTTTTTACCGCAGCATATGCAAAGCAACAAAGGCGGTGCCCGTCAAAGAAAATTTTGTCAATATTTGCTGTACTTCACGGGCATGTATTCAAACACTGACCTACATTTACATAAAAACGTACAAAAGCAAAACATTATATGATACAATGTTTTCTCGAATCTCCGGATATCTAATACGAATTTTAAAACCATAACAGAGAACAGTTCAAAGGTCAGACAGATTAGTTCAGAGAAAATTATTAAAATATCCCATTTAGTATTCTAATATTCTTATTATCGAGAGATGATAAAGCGATCGCTCAACAAGCATGTATTAGTGATTAATGACCTCCACTTCAGATAGCCTCGATAACGTGAAAATCGATTACTTCACGATAAAACTCTTACAACCATCGTGTTATTAAAATACCTTGACATTTAAAGTAGTCGGGACTACGGTTCCCATCCGATGATTAAAAAAAATCCTCCCCATTTTCAGACAAAATTGCAATGCTGTTTTTTGTGGTTTATTCTTTTATAGTCTACGAACGAATTTACTGTCGTAAAATTAGATCTGACCGGGTTTTCCCCTTAAAAAATCAAAGGAACGAGGTATTACATTCTTTAACTTGAATTGTTTAGTCATGTTTCAAGTGTCATTTGTTTTTCAAGTTGTTTCTGAGCATAGTCCTGGTTTGTTTACTTTGTACGTTTTCGATTCTAAGTATCAATAGATGTATTAAAAGTGAGTTTTTTCTATTTACTTTGCAATAATCTATTGATAACGTGATCATAAATGTGTTTTATTTCTCTAAAACTTTTTAATTTACCACCATTTCTCGCATAGAAAGCTATATATATAATGAATTTCTTTTGTATTTGAACAGCAATCGCCATTCTTCTGCTCTGCAAAATCAGTTGTACGATAACAAAGAAAGCTGAAGGGAAATATTACAGAAAAGAGTAAATTGCAATCGTTTGTACTGATAAAAAATTGAACATAGATTTATGAAAATTTTAAAGCACCTTCTACTTTTTAACGTGTTTCATTGTTTAGACATTTAGTCAGTCAGTAGTTTTTCTACTGAAATCAATAAAATAAAATCCAATTTCTAAATAGTGGGTATTTATATGTGAAGAAAAAACAATCATACTAAATGACTTTTCTTGCAGATATCCCGATGGCACCGTACGCCTTCGCAACCCGAACATCGAACTTATGGACCAAGATATCCTATACCACTTGGCGCTCGGCAGCGGCTCCCACGATCTCGTTGAAATGTTCGGCGATGTTCAGGTAATTATAGAAACAATTTTACCAATTGTATAAATGTTCGATAACTATTTAAAGCTATCTGAAGGAATAATGATTGCAAAATAATGACAAAATTTACACAGTTACAGCAAGCAGATTTGAATTGCTGAAAACGCAATAGCAAATGGAAAAATGCAATTCTTCTTTCCTTAAGAAGCAAATTCTGGTTAATTCTATTCTAAACACTGAAGGGTTCATTTATTTATTTGTTGAATTAAACCACTAAAATCCTCATACACGTTGATTTTTAGTCAATGTTTTGTCTAGTTCGTGTGTATGGGCGGCACACCGAAGCGCGTGGAGCAGTTCGCGTACACGATCATGGCGGAGATCGGCCACAAGCTGCCGTGTGGCACCACACTGCAGGACATCAGCCAGTTCTCCTACCGATACTCAATGTATAAAGTCGGCCCCGTGCTCTCTATAAGTGTAAGTATACGCTACACATTGTTTTAAAGAGGTGATGACCAATACAGGAATGCCATGGATGAGGTGTCTTAGGGAGCCCTGAAGCCAGGCTTTGGGGGGCATCAGGAAATGGATGTAGTAATGTTAGAGGCGCAAACCTGATTTTCTTATTATAGCGGCTAATAGGGTAAAGACAGTCGCCAATACCTAATTACCAGACGTAATTGGAATAATCATTCTTTAATAGTTGCGTTGGACCTAGGTTATAATTGTATCAAAACAGTGGACCTTTTATAAAAGTTACTTGTTGACATTTTTGTGAATTGTTGTGATATTCTTTTTGGTTATTTGAGGTCCAGTGTTGTTGCAATTTTGTTCTGGTTGTTTTATAGTGTTATAGATTTATTTACATTCCTTATCTTTGATATTTGACCTTACTGTTATGAATGTGGGTCAGACAAATCGCCTCAAAGGTCGCCTCGAATTTTATCAATGTTTTTTTTTTTGTGATTGTTGCTAAAATTTGCGTGTGTTTTATAAATAAGAAGATCGATTTTCGTTGCCAATTTTAATTGAAGCTATTTTTGATCGTTCTTATTGTTTAGATAAATTAAAAACTCCATGTATTTATCACAGTTTAGGAAACTAAAAATCCAAAGTTAAATGAACTTAATGGATTTCTGATACACCAGTGCTATTTTCTCTAACACTCGGATAATCTGCAGGCTGTAATCCGCTTATAACCTCGTTGTTAAGAAATAAGAAGCTTAGTAAAGCGTTATGAGGCGTTGTAATAAAAATTGCTGAGTGCAATTATTGTAATCACACTTGTTACAATTTTTATAATACCGTTTTCTGCCAAATCCCCTCTAAGCAAAGTTTTTATTACTTTAGTATACTAAACGAATTTATCGATTTCGAAGAGCTTGATCTAGGTGTCATTTGATTGGTATTTTCTTCTGGATTGGGTAACCTTTTATTAACTGACTTTGATTTCTGAGATAAACATCTATGTATCCAAGTGCAAGCTTCGTATAACAAATTGCATAAATCGTTAGCGGTCAGCTTACGCTGTCGTTTCAATTGAGACAAACGAGTAGATGATACGAGCGATGTATCGCTGGGGGATTATTATTAAGTACCTAATTCATTTTAACTCGAGACTTCCTTCTAAATTCCGCAGTATCGTATATCTTATGTTGAGTGAAGATTGATATGGTTTAAAGAGATATTATGGGATACGTTTAAATGATCGTATTTACAAAAGTATATAAATCCTATCTATATATAAAGAGTTCGTTAATGCTGATGTCATTTTAAAAAAATCTCATGAAGTCATGAAATGAAAAAAAAAACATTCATTTCGTTGAATCAATAACAAATATGTCACTAGTCATCGCAGCGGACGAACCCGAGAACCGCAGCTAGTTATCTAATAAGGAAATCCCAAGACACAAATATGCCTATGCGTGTTGCTCTAATCTTTATCATAGTGTTTTTGTATAACACTTCAAAGAACTTATGTTTACCATACATGTTTTCCAAGAATTGATGACATTTAATATCGTACGATTCAGGTTCGAGTACATTACAGTAAGGTGATTACTAGGACGTTTATGAAACAATAAGCAACTTAACTGCTTGAAAATAACTATCCCATTGTTTGGCTTCAGGTCAAATGTAATCGTTTTACTTCACCTTTTAAACATTAATCTGCAAACGGAAGAAAGGTAGATTAAAATTATTTGACACTCGCCTAAAATTTCTTAAGTCGAACTGATTGTATTTTATTCCTACGTTACTTTTAAGGTGACGTAAAAGGTTCAAATATTTCATCGCCACTCCGGTTAGTAACATACGCTCTTTCAATTGTTATTACAGAAAAACTACAATGTTTACAGAAAATTGTGTCTTATCGAATTTCGTTTTGTTTTATTTCAGAGAAATATAAACTTTGATGAAAGATTACATATTATTACTTTATGCTTTACGTATAATTTTTAGTTACTATGTCACCATAAGCTATTATACTTACTGTTCTTGGCCAAAGTCAACCACTCTATAACCAGTACCTCCAGTAGACTTCACACTCTCCTCTAAATTTATTCAAAGATTTTTGTTCCCGCGTTATGTTTTCCTTGTTTTGTTTCCAGCACGGTATGGGCATACCGTCTGTTGGTATCCTACTGCATGAGGTCATTAAGCTGATGTACCACGCCAAGGTACGCGATCCTGTTTTCTTCAGGATTGGAACATGCGGCGGCATCGGCTACGAAGGGGGAACCGTCGTTATATCAGAGGAGGCCGTTGACGGCACACTAAAGAATGCTTTAGAATTGGTAAGAACATTTTAATATTAATAGTTTACGGATTAACTTGTAGCTTGATAACTAATTGCTATAGCAGAGTAAGTGTAGATGCGCTGTCTTAAAGGAATTATAAAGGTACGTTCTGTTCTTGAAGGACTGATACATTCGCATTCTGAGTCTAGGTTAAAGAATTGCTAATGTAACAATTGTACTGTATATTGCTGGTGTGTGCTTTGCGGATGGTCCTATGACGTCACACGTAAACTAGCAGTACTGAGCAGACGAATGTTGGACGCGCTTGGTGTTTTTGGAAAGGGGAATCGTCGACAAACCTTCTATTTGCTTATAGTATATTTGCAGTTAATGTAACCGGGTCTAATTCCTTTAGCATTGTAGTACAATTTATAACATCAGTCATACTGTCTAAGGTATTCACGCACGCATAACTTGAACAAGGTTACGCATAAATTACACAGGAATGCATAGTATGATTGATTGGAAAATAATGTATTGTTTACAGACTGTACTTGGCAAGACAATACAGCGGCTGGCGAAGTTAGATCGAAGGCTGGTGAAAGAGCTGAAGAGTCTAGCTGATCCAGAAGACCCGTATGACACTATAACGGGGAAGACGATGTGCACTTATGATTTTTATGAAGGTTAGGCAAATTACTCTTCAGTTGTTTTTTTTTATTCAGAAGAACCAGAAAAGTATAGTCAGATGTTGACTTGTCAGGCTTTATTTATAACACTAGCGATGTAAGAGTTTATAGAGATTTGCCTAAAAATTAAGTGATTGAAGAAATTTGTGTCTCCAATTTCGTATAAAGAAGTGGGGAATTAAAATAAGCAGGATGTGAAGTTGTTGGGATTATCTATGACACTTATGAATGCTAAAATGAAAATTGTTCTTTTCAGGACAAGGCCGTCTCGACGGCGCGTTCTGTGACTTCACGGAGACGGACAAGATGGAGTACTTAGAGAGTATCCACAAGGCGGGTGTGGTGAACATCGAGATGGAGTCGCTAGCGTTCGCTGCGCTGACACACCACGCCGGCATCAAGGCGGCTGTTGTCTGCGTTACCTTCCTCGACAGGCTTAAAGGAGATCAGGTATAAAGATTAAAACTAAATATTTGTTGATTTGATAGTTGCTTAAGCCAGATTTAAAACAGGGCATTATACGTACTCAAGTAACATCAACGATAATTTATATTCCTTGTAAATTTCACTTGAAAAACGAAATCATTATGGTCATTATGTTTTCTATTTGGAATGAAAGCACATATGTCTATTTTAATTACAGGTGCTGGCGCCAAAGGAGGTTCTGGATGAATGGCAGCAGCGTCCTACTAAACTCGTCTGCCGTTATATCAAAAAGTATGTAATTTCCCTCTTTTCGCTTTTTAATTTTTTATACTAATCAAAATTTATAATTTTCTTTTCTTTTTCAGACATTTGCAAATGAAGGGTCGACTCTCTTTGGAGGGACATGGTTCCATCGCCGTCAAAAGCCCGCGCCGGTTCAAACTGGTTCAGCAGGAATCCGAAAACTATGACTAATTCTTCACAATTCGGGACTTTACGTACGGTCTATGTTTGTCATCGAAAGCTATGTTTATGTGAATTGCCCTTAGATTGCTTCTTATTCTAAGTATACTTATTTTAATTTATAAATATGTATTACTGTCCATTTCCAATGCTACAGAAACATAATGGCGTCTCTTTCATTCTCTTTGAAAAGACGAGGAACAACAACATGAATATTCGCATGATAGTTACGAGGTATTCCTAAAGGTAACGATTAATTTGTACAAGATTTGTTGTACTTTATGTCCGGTAGGGGCGCTGCATAAATTTAATAATTTTACGAAAACATTCTCAAAAATATTCGTTATTACCATCGTAATACCATCTGACGAGGTACGAATTGCTAAGGACATTTTTTACGTTGAATCGTTGAATTTTGGAACAAATTATATAAACTGTACGCTTTAAAGTCCCGTTGTCTCTTTATTTTTTTAAGGATAAAGGTATTTTAATTTTAAATACAATTCCTACTGATCAAACATATCTCTTTAACTCTCTATTTTGACCAATTTCCTATTCCCTGAAAGGTTTTATTAAATATCTTTAGAATTCGTTTACTGTAAACTATTTAAATGTTATTTTTTTATATAATTCAAAAATTTTACGAATCCTTGTAATGTAATTTTTATATAATTATCTTTGTCTACTATCTATTAATAAATAAATGTATGTAATAATCTTGACTTCATAAAATAACTCGTTAATATAATATGTAATGAAAGTTTGGTAAAGTTTTGACAATGTTTCGATTCGATTAATATCTTTGAAAGACATATAAATAATAAAATAAGTTAGGCCCTTCGTACACAAAGCAAACCTTGGAAACTAATGTATCCTTACGACGTGAGTATCGCTTAGGGCGAGTTCCGAACACACATTGATTGGACGCAAGTCGTGTATTCTGTCAGTACGTGCTGCATAACGATTACGAGATTACATAATGTCAACTATATTTCAATGTATAAATTTGCTCTGCGCTCTCGAAAATCGCGGCAACTTTTGTACCGACGATCATAACAAAAAGGTACCGACTAGAGACGGCGACGAAAGTGCTAAATGTTGGCAACGCGTGCTTGTGTACCGAGGACCTTAAAGCTACACTTAATAAGAAATTTGAAAAGTTTTTCATATTCTAATTCTACTACTAATTCTTCAAAGCCTTGTCGACTGTTATTGAGTCCAATATCAAGTAAATATCTCCCAAAAACACATTATTTCGACGACCTAAAATTTAACAATTTTCAAGTTTTATTGTACTCTTTTGAATATGTTTAAAAGTGTATTCGTTATATTGTTGCGAATATATTTTATATTGTGATAAATTTTATATTAGTTGTTATATGTTTTGTATAGACCATGACAAAAAATCTGCTTTTTATTGATCTTTGATAACAAAGTGTATATTACACAAAACAACCTTAAATAGTATTTACATACAAAAAAAACTTCTAAAAAGGAATAACTTAAAAACTGTCAGTCATTTGTTATTATTGAAAATGTTTATTGAAATAATTATTTACAAGTTACGGGACATATTGAATTTAAATAGTGTACACTTTTATGTTTCACAAACGTTGCCAGAATGTCCAGTATATTATATGCATTTTATTAAAAAGGTTAGTTGAAACAGATTAAAAAGCTGGTTGACTGATCGATACAAGTGCTTCCACGAAAGTATAATTGTTAATCTGCATAGCGATGGAAAAGATTTTAGTCTGCACTTATGGCAAATAAATTAAGATACAATTAGGTGTTTCAAGGAATGATTTAGTTCGGAAATGGCTCTGCAATGGAAATAGCTTCGATATTTAGCTATGTTTGGAGATCGTGTTTGATTCGGATAAAAGCTATTTGTGCACCAATTATACTAATAAAAATAATGTTAAAATAATTATTAATCACTTTTAAACTCTTACTACTTATATAAGAAGTGTGTTGCGTAGACATTTAAGTATTTCTTTGTATTGAATTTAAATATGTAATCAGTATTTTTAAGATTTTACTTTTTAAAAACGTTATGATGAATTTTCATATTTGCTAAACATGTTTCTGTTGTTTGAAAGTTTGAATCTTATTGTTACAATTCAAAATATTACTCGTTATAAAACAATTTACAATCACACTAGTTAAATTTTTCGAAAGAATCGTCTTGTTTGGATTCTCTTAATCAATTGTTAAAGAAATGTAACACTATTTAGATGTAGCGCTAGTAACCGTTATGTATTGCAAATGTTGTACAAAACACTATATTTAAGGTCACAAATTAAGAATACTTTACAATAAGCGTTGTAACTGCTTGAATAGTGTTAAATATTTAATAAATGCAGTTTGTTCCTTTCCATTTATTTTTATTTTCGTATCTTTAGGACATGTAATTATGATGATAAGCAGCCAACTAAAGTAGAACAATTAAATAAAAAACTTAGTTTGCAAGCTTTTAATTCTTAACAACTAAATATGTACACATTCTCTATCCATAGCACAAACATTTTAAATTAAGGTAAAAAAATCCATTAAATATGAAGGTACAGGTAATGTTTAAGAAAAAACAGATGGCACAGATTATGCATTTTTAATATAAATGAGTAAAGAAGCTTCAGTACATTAGTTAATTATAATAGACAAGAAAGTACGCATTAACTTTTATACCGATTTAGCTAGAAATTTAAAAATTGATACAGAATAAATAAAAAAAAAGTATTGTTTTTACCACAGACATTCTAAGACATAGAGATAGTCCTAAATGAAAATGACTTGGAAAAATCTCATGCAAATAATAAAAAACTTTAAATATGCGAAGCCGAAACAGAGCGAAAGACTGTACAGTATGGGATAAGAGAAATTAATTATTTCTGGATACCAAAATATTCAGTCTTGATTATTAAGTATTTACAAAAATTCTCACTACATTTTTATATTTCATTTGTGTGCCATGTGTTTAAATTTTATTGAGTATACCTTATAAAAATAAATGAGCATTTTACAACTAAATGTATGATCTATTTGAGCTGCAGGAACTTCATAAGTGCGTCTTGTATAAGACGAGGGCTGGCTTCGCTATCGGCAGTATATCTGACGCCTCTAAGGGCTCCATCTTCGTTTCTCACAACACCGTATTCCCCCACAATAAAGCCATCAGGTGTTCTTTCTTCTACACGATACTTTTTATACTGTCTTCCTTCCACAACATAACCAACTTTACAGTTCTCCTGCTTACAATTCTCATTATTCGGTTTTTGAACTCCATGACTACGTCCGTCAGTCATTACGCTGATTTTTTCATCTACCTCGTAATTCTTTTCGGGTTGATGTTCTACAATGTATCGTTCTGTATTCGTTTTATAAGTTACTGTTGTTATTGGAGTCGTGGTTATATCAGGATTTCTCGTAGGAGACGTTGGTGATATTGTTCGCGAGCGTGGTCGCCAAGGAGTATGGTTCGGTAATGGTTCCGGTGTGAGATGCAATGACGCCGGCTGACTGTAATACTTAGCAGGCTCACTGTAAATTTTTGCCGGTTCACTGTATATCTTGGCTGGTTCGCTGTAAATTTTCGATGGTTCACTGTAAAATTTCGCCGGCTCACTGTAGAACTTCGCAGGTTGACTGTAAATTTGGGCAGGTTGACTATAGACCTTTGCTGGGGGATTATAAAACTGTTGACTTTGTCCGAAAGTGTTACTCGCATGGTTATAATTGTCATTAATCTTGGGATTGTCGTGAACTATATTAAAACTGACCGTTGTTAATCGCGTGTTCCTATCTCGTTCCTGCAATGAATCGTCGGTTAAACTTTGTACATATGTTTTAGCCGATAATGATGAAATCGATCTACCTATTGGTATATTTTCAATATTTTCCTCAGTTTCACTAGCCGTAGAGTCTATATCGGAATCAGTGTTGCTAGTTGATTCGGTTGTATGATCATCGGATATGTTGTAATTAAATTGTTTAACTGTTTCAAATGGATTCACTTGCTCGTAATGATTTACGCCTCTCGCTTCTTTCCGTGCTTGTAATTGTTTGATAAAATCTATGTTAGCACCGATGTACGGCATTGCATCAGTTACGGTTTCGTTTTCGATGTCCTCGATTGTAGTTGGATTCGTAGGATTTATTTTTGTTACAATGGTCGGTAGTAACGTGGCGTTAACATTTTGAATGTATTCATTTTCTGGTATCTTGGTAGATTTTGCTTTTCCTCTTCCTACAGCAACTGAGGACGTTATTCTTACTGATATAACCTGCTCGTTGTGAATATCGGAGGGATCTCCATGTTGTACTTCAGGATCTGCATCCTCTCTCACCCCTGGTTGCTTTGCAAATGGCTGGCTGACCACTAGCGCATTAGGCAAGATCTGAAAATAATAAATAATAATGTTATTGAATTGGACTATGATTGTGTTTGACTACTATAGGTATTAAAAAGAAATTATTAGTTTTGTTCAATAACAAATTGCTTTGTAATATGTTGCAACAAGGCTCAAGATGGCGAGTAGCAAGGCTACACGCGCGGTCACTGACAGCTGACAGCCGGCACATTCCGAGAACCATTTCCGCTCCGTTTATTAACGCCTCGTCGGCAAAACCTATATCAGCTGGTCTTGATCGTTTATCTTGAATGTACCGAGATCATTTTTTGTTAACACCAAGTGTGATTTTGAGAATAAATTTAATTGGCCAGTCTGTCGACGTCCGCAACACCCGAAAGAAACCAATAAAGAATAACCAACCATGCAAAAAATGATAAGAGTTTATAAGGATAAAATTAGAATAATGAACATACAAATTGAAGTCACGTATGACAAATTAAAGTCTAGACGTCATCAACTTTTTTATTTAATAAAATTGATATTAAGATTCATTAAAGAAGAGGAAAAAAACATTTCCAACTTGAAGAAAAAGGCAAACTTACTGGTTAAGTTGTTAATGTCAATTGGATCGCAAAAAATTAACCTGATTGGAATGTGGAGGCAAAAAGTGGGCGCCTGATCATGACACCGCCTCGGGTAGGATGATTGAATGTTGTTTGTACTCGCATCTTGTACTGGTATGTAAATAAGTTAATGTTATATTATTCTATACATCTGTAATGATTATTATCGAATTGAATAATACTCGAAAAATTCGAGTTCAGGTTTTCGTGCATTTTCTAAGATATCACAGAGAAAAGATTTGATTCTTTACACCAGGTACTTTAATGTGAACAGATTTCTAAACTTCTTTGAACAATTAATTGAAAGTCAAAAGTACAATGTTTTTTTAATTAATCTTATAACAAATTTTCACGTCGAAAATTCGATAGTTAATTAAACTAATTTTCGTTATTTTCATAAAACTCTTGATTATTCTTACCGATGTTGTAATGAACTTGAAACCACTTTGTATCTAGATTACGAACTAGGTATCCTAAACAATTTCACCACACTGCAGTTCGTGACACAAGATAAAAAGCAAAGAATACTAATCGTTTCTACGTAACTTGAATCTATTGAACAAAGCTTTGTCCGTGTAAGGACTAAGTATGAAATGGGCTTTCACAATTACATTACTAGTAATGTTATCGAAGTAATACATCGATTTTTATTATTTTGAAATAAAATAAAAGCATGCACCTAGGAGTTTTAAGATATTTATAGGTATACATACTGACTTTCCTGCCGTTCGTATATCACGGAAAAAATACTCGAAGGTTAAAGATAAGTTGCATTTGCTATTTATTAAAAAAAGACTAAGTACAAAAAAGAAGGGGAATAAATGGTGGTCAAGTTTATGAATTATTTCAGTAGTATATTTGGAATATTGGTGGCAATCAATCAGCGATGCAATATAAATCAGACATAAATTAAGTCAACACTACTGTAGTAATTATTGTGAATAGACAGAATCGGAGGCATCTAGTTACAAAATGGGCTGCGCAGGCGCAACTTGCGGCCTTGTGTTTTTCACTGTCACGGCGCCGCGGGGTGGGGCCGGCGGAGAGGGGCGCACTCAAGGCGCGCGCAATCACTCCATGATCGTAATATTGCACGGATATGTTGGAATGTTACTTTTACAAAGAAAGGTTAAACGTTGGTATGAATAAATATAAACTCTATTATACATACGATCTTTGGTACCTTTGTTCTTTGTGAAGTAAAATATCACGTTTCTTTGTTTCGGAGATTCTTTAATAAAATAAAAGCAGAAGAAAATGTAAATAATGTTTCTCATTTTGTATGAAGTTGTTGATTTTCTAACATCATTAGAACTTAAACCATAACTAGCTGTTGCTGGCGATTTAGCCCGCTCGAAATAAAAATATAATAAAAATGTGTTGCCTATGTTACTCACTGACAACATAGTTTTTAATGGTGCAAGAGTTTTTGAAATCGGTCAAGTAGTTTTACAAAAATCCAAAAATACAAATCATTTCTCTTTATAATAGTAGTATATAGTATACATAGTAGGTATAGATATATATTAGGCTTGTTATACTGAAATTAATCAACGAAATAAATTTTAGGTTACCGTAGAAATATTTTTTTTCCAACACAGTAGATACATGTTACATTAAAATAGAATGGAGTAGCACAAGTTACTCGTGTTTTAATTCATTGCATTGATATCGATACTGCTTGCAAAAGTAGATACGAATAGCTGATGGATAATGTTACCTTTGCTACGTGAATATTAAAAAAAAATTAAGAAACCTCACCAACTTTATTTTTTCTATACATTTTTGTTACTTTATCTAGATAATGAGTTGACGTTTTTTAATCTGACAGTTTTGTAAAATGTGATTGTCATTTTAATCTTTGACCATGTCGGGATGCGGCCCTGTCTAATAAATTCTTATAAAAACAGTGGTAGTGCCCGCTTTAACATCTTAGCAAGAATAAGCCGGCACGCCCCCTGTAATACCACGACCACACAGAAGACAGGCGTGAAATGGAGCCAATTCCGTGTTTCGTCTCATGAGTGCCTTTCTCTTTAACACCCTTTTCTTATAAGAAGTGGATGGGACGAGGAAGTGGATTTGACGGTGGAGGAGATGCATAGGAAGTGGCAATATCCTCTTTATGTGCGTCTCCTCCTCCGTCGGATAAGGGTGGGCAACGCATCTGCGATCGCGGATGTCTATGGGCAACGGCACCTTATGTTATAAAAAAAAAACTTTATTATTAGAGCATTAATTGTATTTTAAAAGTACAGGACAAATAGATTAATTAGCATTCGATTGTAATTAAATTCTTATTAAAATCCTTCAATCGACAAACAGGTTACTAGCAAGGGAAGCTAGTTATTTCAATATTAAATAATCGTTAACTTTTTTAAAGTCAATTGCGATATGGTAATGGCCGTCTCCAAGACATTACTTACCAGTTCAAAGCACGGAATTGAAAAAAGTTAATTAATTCATGGATAATCAAAATAAGAGTACGCAAAGAGTAATGTTTAGTGCAAAGTTTTGCCTCACGACTTGTAAATTTTATAATTTAGGTACATTACATTTATTAGAGAAAACGTATATGAGATGAATGCGTAATATTGTATTTAACTTCGTAAGTATCGGAAGTGTTAGGCGTTAGGTTAATTTACCTTTTCAACTTCTTTATTTGAATTCAACATACATGTAATCTTTTGATTCATGTAATTTTCTATCTAAAATAATTTTAATTATAATATTTAGAATCTTGCTTATTCAAAGGTTAAAATATTCTAGATGCATAAGTCCTGTCTTTAAACACACTAACGGGTCTTTCTCAATGTATTTATTTGTTTCACTAATTTACATGTACGTTTGTTGCATTCCAATAGATATTTAAGCGCCGAGGCGCCAATAGTGTAACTGTCGGTGTTATATATGAGGTCATTATTTCAAGGACCAATTCTAGATCATTTACTTTGTTGGTATTTTTAAAAGGAAACAATGATCTCTCAATATGTAACTCATATTTAGTTATTTACTTTTCAGATAAACGGTATAATATAAAATTTAACGGAAGAAGGATAGGAATAATGATTAAAGAAAATCCGAGCACCTTAACTTCTTACCTCAAAACAATATAATTCTAAATGACGTATAAACAATGAATATAAAAGAAAACAATCACAAACTACTTAATTTAAAAATAAAATAATAATTCACCATAGTAAACATTATCTTAAGTAATTAAATTGAAATAATCCATCCAACTGACTTTAAGCGTAAATGTATAATATGAGGATAAGCTCAATCACAATCGGATACATAATTTTGTAAAACACGTGTAATTATTCGATCACAATAATTAGGAAAATTAAGTACCGATCAGAGATAATCGCGATGTAGCCTTGGTTAGAGTAACCTACATTCTCATATTATTTATTTGAACACTATTAACTTCGTTCCTTACATTTTTAGAACTACAACTTTGAAGTAAGCCATTGTGCCTACTCCATGGAGCGTCCACCGAAGCGATCTAAGAGCTCGGAGGCCTCCCAATCCGGTAAATAAACGAAGTAACGGCTCGTGTCTAGGCTTCTGAGGGAGCCGTAGAGCTTAGTTACTCATAAACGAGGTTTAGGCTAAGCGCCATCTGCGCTCGGCCACCTCAAGCACGGTGAATCTGTAAATGCCTCTAAAAGGCAAGCAGTGGCCATTGAGTCACCAAAAAAAATGAAGTAAACCTCCGGTTTCTGGATCTCTTCGAATATTGAACTAGAATCGACAACTGTTGACGCATCACGTTCAGGTATATTTCGTTACAAGAGAGAAGGTGAAATAGAGTGATGGAGATATGTAATTTGAAGATCCAACCAAGAAGAGTTGAATCTGTTAAATTTTTCCATACAAGATATATTTTTAAGTCGTCAAAAAGTTAGATATCTTCACTGTCAAAATATTTTGTGTTAACAAGAATATTTTTCGGGTTAACTTTTTTTCACCAGAAGTGTACAAAATTTTGTCATAAATGACAGAGCTCTCGTGATAAGATCTGCGGGATTGTACGAGACTGCGTTGCAATAAGTTAAAAGTTGTTACAAACTCACAGGGCGACCTTCGACTGCCTTTTATCAATCATTATTAGTCTAAAACATTATGGTTTTAATCTAGTTTTTAGAAGCAAAGAGAAGAAACTATATAGCTTATTAGTGTTCACCTTTCAAAGACAAAAAATTGCTTGCTGTTGCTCGCGACTTTGCCCGCGTGAAATTATAAAATGTAGCCTATGCTACTCCCAGATAAATTACCTTTTTAATGGTGAAAGCATTTTTGATATCGGCCCAGTAGTTTTTACGTTAATCGAATACATACAAAAATCCAAATCTTTCCTCTTAATAATATTAGTATAGAATAGAAAAAGATATAGATTAATATAAATATCACAAAGGTTTTACTAGTTTTCTGATAATAGTAGCTTTGTTTCTCTTTCGGGTCAATCAAGTTTGTTGCTCTATCACTAACTGGGCATAAAAGTTTAATAAATTAAACAAAATACTATCCTTGTAATGAGAGTTAAGATGAAGAAGGTTAAAACGACAACTATCAATAGGCAAACAGGTTTAAAAAAACTGACATTTAATACAGAACAAACAGGCTGAAGTTAAGTTAACTGTAACTTAAGCAGAACCATTACTTATTCATACTTCAAATAAATATTTTAAACTCTTACAAAATTCATAAAGAAAATTCTCTTGATATACGAATCGGCATTACTGTGGAGCAAGTATGTCAGAGGGCGATAAAAAATTAAGATTGTAGATATCTCTTGAAATGGCTTTTTTCGTCACGACTGAATACCACGACAAAGCGCGGCCTAGGTCATATTGAATTCCTAAAAGTGATGCCAACTTTATAAGCCTTCTGTAAAAACTTATTCATTTATTCTTATTTAAAAAAGGATGTAACTTTAAAAATCATCAGTAGGTTACATAAAGGAATTGTCTCACTATGCGGGTAGTCTCCTACTATCTGTTTATTTGATTCCTTATCAAGCAATATAGTGAAAGTATTGCAAGATGTCGATGCTGTTATATTTTTTTAAATCTTTGTTATATGCACTTACCTTTATAAGGTTAGCATTGTTGGGCGAGGCGAGAAAACCAGTTCTGATTTACCAGATCGTGAAGTATTTTATACTCGAATGCAAATAAATTGAATGATGACAACCGATTCGAGATCACAAAGAAAATGTAAACATGTTTATCGCACGGATGTATTTTTTTCTTTAAATAGGTCAAAGTTCGAGTCCTTAAGACGGATTTGTGAAATTATGTTCCCTTATAATAAGGCAAAAACTACGAGTTTAATTTCGAGTTTAATGACTTCCGATATGTTGTTCTTTCATGTTAATGTAATTTATATTGAAAGGAATTTATGGAGTTAAGAATGCATGCAAGAATGATTGCATCTGTGTATGCAATCTTTATTGATCTTGACAAACCTAAAGTTTAAATACATGGCTTAGGACCTTTCCCACTACTGGCTGATAGAGACTCAGTTAGGTTAAAAATGACGTCACTATCAGTTAAGGTAACAAAATCCGATATTTCCATCACATACTCGTATTTTACACGTTGGATTGTTATTAAATGATTTACAATTTGGTGGAACAAGCCCTTACATATTTACCGTATTACAAAAAAAAAACTCTCAATTTGAAACTTGAGTAATTAGTGGTAGTATCATTAACGGGTGTGATTAATTTTCTGGGTTTTCCAATTGTCGATAATTTCCGATTCAACGGGCCTATCCAACTCTCGGGTCTTCCCAATACACAGGTCTGTCATCCGTTCAGACTGAAGTCAAACGAAGAACAAAAGGAAATGTTAAGAATTTTTAAGTTCCTACACTTTTATAATTTGAAAGTATGGATGGATTGTGTGAAAGAGGATATACTTAAGAAAGGAGTGGATTCAGATATGACGGCTGAGAGATGTATGGAAGAGCAGCACATACTGTGCTACGTAAGGGATAAAGGCAAGTGGATGACTTTTATAATTTGCACCCTAGTCTAATGATTGCACTAAGCTTCTAACTAGAAATGGCTTCACATTCGTCTACATTAATATTAGTTATGCGTGACAAGTTACTACCAGCGCTCAACTAAACCTGTTGTCGATCGGATACTTTACCTTCGCGTTCAATGTCTTTCATTTCAATAATGTACACTTTATTACGTGTAACACCCATGCACTATCAGTATTATGTAATTAAAAAACCGTATCTTACTCAACTAAATCTACGATAGACATTTTTTATATCTATAGATTGTATTGGTGGCTAGCTTTTAATTTTTTTTTATTGTAAAAGATGGCTAACGAGGGAGTGCCACTTGAATTCTCCACAATAGCGAATTACTGTTGCCCATAACATCTGCCGTTGCAAATGCATTGCCTGCTTTTAATCGGTAGGGCGAGGAACGAGCTGAAACAGGATATTTTCTCTATATATGTATCCCATTCTCTGGTAAATCGCTTTCCCCTTTTACCCGTGTTACCGAATTATAAATCCCAGCCAATGGAGAATAATAACTCTTGATTAAAATTAAATAGTACTTTACCTTTCGAATTTCGAAATTATTGGGTAAAAGTGGAATTTTAAATTCCTAGGCATTTTTTTGTACCTTACAGATGAATAAACAGAAATATCATGTCATGTCAATGTCATAACTAGCTTTATTATAGACTTGCAATAATAATAATCGTTGCATTTACAGTGATTAGTCTCACTAGTGGCGATTTCATAAAAAAATACTAGGAAGTGAATCGCTCGAACCAGTTTCGCCCTCATATGGACCAAAATTAGTTCGATATTGTATTCCAGTACTTTAAAGAGCATGCTGACATTTATCTTGTGTTAATATGAAATAGGTCGACATTACTATATAGAGTTTCATGAAAATAACTAAAGCATTTCTTCAACTAGTGTCTTCAACGTGTTAAGGAACTGGTTACACACTTTTTATAAATGGTGAAAGAAGTTGTACAACCGATTTTAGTTTTAATTACTTTGTACGGAAATTAACAATACTTAAGTTAACGATTGTTACAATATTTTGTCAAAATACTCAAGTAATTGATTTTTTGTTTACAATATCTTTATCTGAAACAGATATATGCTGATGAAGGGTCAACTGATGCAGGTATAGAGAAGTATAGAAATATATGTATGAAATGGAATTTATTATTTTTTATTTCGTACCATACAATACTAATAATGATAATGTTTATAAATGTATGCATATTGTTCACAATGGTGCGAGTTCCTTAGGAATGTAGATGGAATGTAAATCGTAAGTTATGTGAGCTTCTTACAAGACGGACAGCTGAACTGATTGTAATTATGGTTTGTGAAGCACCAAGAGCCAAGACAACGTTTTTTTTTTCAATTATCTGGCAAATTATTTTAAACCATCGAGTTGTGATGTTTTTCTAATATTTAGAACATACATAATTTATCAAACAAAGCATACATGCATAACAATTTTTGGACAACGGTGTTTATTATGCTCTTTAGATGAGGGATTGGTGTGATACGTTAAGGTTGTCAATTTGTAGTTCTTTCATACTGAAAGTTAGTCATATTAATGGTAAAATATATACCTATATTTTTTTATAATAAAAGGGGGCAAACGACCGGCGAGAACACCGAGGTGGTCAACGACGCCCATGGACATCCGCAACACCAGAGGAACTACAGATGCATTACCGGACTTTGAGGAAATGATAGGCTCGCTTCTTGACCCTAAGTCGTATTGGTTTGGAAATACCGCCGAGGACAGACCGTTTCACAAGGAAGAAAGTTCCGCGAAAAACAGCACGCAAATTATCCATGAATTCAATAGAAATTAATACAGGAATAGCTTAATTTAATCATATTTAAAACATTCTACCACTGATTATAGTTTTGTATTGTTTAAATTAGTTAGTAATTATTTCGTGTGTTGGTATTCGTCGTCGAAGTGCAAACTTTGACATTGAAAGTAATATTCGGCCATAAGGGCAGTGGGCGTTGTTGGTAATGCAGTGCAGTTGGGTGGTTCATAATATACTGAGGAACCCTTTTGCTTTCTTATTTTATTTCAACATGGATTACCTTGTTATGAAATTATGAAGCAATTTGTTAATGAAAACTTAGAATTTACAATTTTACTTTTGAAAAAGATTAAAGACTAGACTATAATAGTTATTTACGTTAACTTTAAAATGCATAACTAAAGATTCATTATATATTTGCCGACTTAGGTAAAGCCATTTTATTATGGTAAATTAAATTGACTATATTAGATACAGAATTACTTTTGAATTTATTAGCCGACTTCAGAAAGGAGGAGGGTCAATTCATTTGTATATTTTATCTTTGACTGAATTTATTGTCCTCTTACAATTGTAACAAATATTGTAATAACAACATCATCAGCCTGTTCTAATCTACTGCTAAATATAGAACTAAGTTTGTTTATGGTAATATCACAATAGATTAAAAAATGAATTCATACCAAAAGGGAAATCCATATAAAATAGATCCTCATCTCGTCACAAACCGATTACCGCACTGTAACTTCAAATTTACTGTATCGATAAGGACATGTCCACAATATCGAGAATCGTAAAGAACATCGTTCCGGTGGGAACTTTTAGTTTATACGATTATTTGGTTGACATCGCATCGCATCGACACGGCGTTGCAGGCACACTGTAAAACTAAGCGAGGCCCTCTGATTCCGATTCGTTTGAACTAGAATAAGCGATTCACTTCTAGTACGTGTGCCTTGCGCGGTGTCTCACTGACTAAAGGCACGCAACCACGTCGACCAGACAACGTTGACCTTCCCAATTAACTATTTAATTTATGTAATGCACTTTCTTGTGGAGCACTGACGCACTCCGCACGCGACCGCAAAACATTATCTCGATTAATATAATAAAGTTGCAAACTACATTCAAATAATTTATTGCTATTATTAAAAATAAGTATTATTTACAAGTATAAAAATAAGTAACGACCAGCGCAATTAATTATTAATTAAAATTTAACTTCAGCTCTTCCTTACAATAACATTAAAATTTGTTTTAATAAATGAAAAGAAATAAGTAAACGTTTGGAATATTCCTTAATGATTTTAAATACTTTTATATAACGAATCTTTTGTACTTTAAAATAAAAAGTAAAAAGATCAGAAAATAATGAACATTTTTTTCTTTTTAATATCCATAGTAAGGGTTGTGGGCATGTTGCGGTGCATACGGCTCGTATTCTTGCGATGAGGCCTGAAAAAATAATTAAGAAATGAGAAATCTGTTCTAATACATTATATTATTTAATAAAACAAATGACTTCATATTATGTAAAGATGTTATTATTGTAAACATTTTATAGCTCACGAGGTAATTTTTGATAGTCACGATAAAATAAACATTTTTTTTAAATTTTTTACATCGAAAACAAATTAAAAGTTTGACCTCTGGCAGCCAAAATTAAATCTTGCACCATAAAGCCAAGTGTAACCTTTTTTTGTTGTTGTTGTTTAATAAAAAAGCATTTCCCCTTTTTCTTATTTAAATATTTCGTTACTATTTATATTTAGAACAAGATCCTTTCATTTATTTTGAGCAACTAAAAGTGTTTTTTTTTTCGAAAGATTTAATATTCACCGCAAACATTCATAAAAAGGGATCCGGGTTGTTTGACCTAATGTAGATCAAATAATATCCTTCGATACTATATTTTCATGCTGCAGGAAGTTTCTACTTAATTAAACCGTTACGTTCCACGTTAACTATTTCGTAGAATTTAAAGTAATTTTTAGTTTTAAATCTGCAAGGCTGATTAATATTATTTTGTGTGCGATAAATATAAGAAAATTATAAGAAAATTTCACTTGTCATTCAGACTAAGGCCAAGAGATTAAGTGCTTGTCCTACCCCTGGCTGATAGAAGCTCAGATAACGTAAAAATGACGTCACTGTCGGATAAGGTAACAAAATCGGATAATTCCATCAGATATTTTACATTGGATTTTTATTAGACAATTTATAATTTGGTGGAACAGGGCCTTAATAACTTAGAAATAGTTCTTACCTGATAATCATTAATAGTTTTTTTCTTTTCATGTGATTCATGTACATGTACTGGCTTTTTAACAAGCGCGCCACTCGCTATAAGTTCCTTTAACTTTAACTTAGTAGATAATAAATTCGCTGCCAGAGCTTTAGTAAAAGCTTTTAGCTCTTTATTCTTCGCATTGACCGCCCATACCACATCTCTTAGTAGATCAAACTTGGCCATTGAGTTATCGTTTTCTTCGTGTTCATGGTGATCGTAAGAGGGCGTTTCGAACGCAGCTCGGTATAACATCTGCTCGTCTTCATCCATATCCTCATATCTAGGCAGATGTCGAGGAAATACTACAAAGATAGTAAATTGTGTATAAGTAAATGATGTACGGAATAGTTAAGACAGAAAGATTTTAAGATGTTTTTTTCGTTTAACTTTCATGCCATTCATGCATAAACAGTATTTATATGACTTATTGTACTCACCTGGGGTTATTAAAAGTAAAGTATAAATCACGGAATAAAACACCATTATTGCTTAATTAACGTTCTTGATTACAATTAAAATGTGACACATGCGTAACGGCGGTTAGCATTAAAAATAATTTGGGGCTACCCGATATTTTAAAATCTCATGGCAGTTCTATGTTGCCATTACTATATTTTGTTATTTAATCACTCACTCGTTCACTATTTAATGTATTTTAGTGTTAACCTTCATGGCATAGATTGTTTAGGATAAAATATTATTAAATATTTTTATAATGTTAAAGTGGGTCAATGGTTAGTTTGACGTATGAGGTCTTACCCAGTTATGTCATATTTTAGGCTATATAACGCATGATATAAATCAGTTTAAAATATTCGTTTTTACATATTTTGTACTGACTATAATTTATTACAATGTGTTATTTAATTTTAGTACTAAGAAAACTAGTGTTGTCTTTTTTATACAATAAGGTGGCAAACGTAAATCCGCCAAAATCTCGAAGCAACCGCTGCCCATAGACATCCGTAATTGCAGTTACATTGCCCACCCTAAATCGACGGAGGAGGAGACGCACACAAAGAGAATTTTTCCCCTTGCTATGCATCTCACTTTCCCATCCAATTATTTCCTTATAAGAAAAGGGTGGAACGGAAAAGGAATTAAAATTGAGCATCAGGCACCACACATTAGACGAAACGCGAAATTGCTCCCTCTTTACGCCTGTCTTCTGTGTGGTCGTGGTATTTCAGCGGGAGAGCCGACCCATTCGCGCGAAGATGTTAAAGCGGGCTACACCACTGGCAAGTTTCTTTTAGTTTATATAATGAATTTAAAAGGTTATGTATAGGCAAATAAAACTCACAAAATATTATAACACAATGTATTCTTAGAAATGAATGACATGTATTTAGATTTAAGACTACATAATACAAGCTATGTTATACTTTTTTTTTTTCTTTTTTTTTATGACTGATTTGTCACTGTTTGCCTTGAAGAGGCATTTACAGATTCACCGGGCTTGAGGTGGCCCAGCGCAGATGGCGCTTAGCCTAAACCTCTAAATGTTATACTAGGTATATAAACAATAATGAACACACGTGTATATAATAATTTATGTTAATATTAAATTATTAACTTATGAAACAATTATTTTATAGTTAGCCCGAGAGTGTAGTGTTCATGCAAGAACCTAATTAGTCGTTTTACTGTCTTTTTTCCCTCATACTGAAGTAAATGCTATAAAATGTAATCCTAGATGTAATCAATTAAAGACGCGTGCGCTACTAAATAGAAAATATGTATAGAATTGATAGATAACCTTATCTATATTAATAACAAAATTATCTTTCGATAATGTAGAATGGAACAAATACCATGCAAGTCGATAGTGTGAAAGTGTTCAGTTATATTAAATAAAGTAATAATAATAGTAAAATGGTGTGGAAGAACTGTAATATTGTTATTAACAGTGGGGACAGTGGCATTTTATACACAGGCGACGTGGTGACCGGATCGGTTACTTTGGAATTTAAAAAAGTGCAAAAAATTAAATGTGAACAGCTTTATATTATTTATTTATTTATAATTTAAAAAGTAGTTCTAGTATGCGACAATTGCATATAGTTTTAATTATAATTTAATTTATATCAGGACGAAACACACTTGACTTTGAGTCTCAAATATTACTTGAATGCGTTTTATCGTCATTTTACTCTGTCTATTTTTTCGGTTGACATAAAAAGCCATAAATAGTAAATTATCTTGTATTTTTATCTCTTTATTTATGATGCGCAAGTGACCATATGATGGTCAAATCAAGTAAAAAAAATCACTCTTTCACAATCACTTTCTTGATTTAACGAGGTCTGTGTACATTCCTAAAGAAAGGTATCGTTTTTGATTGCAGCTAATTGCTAATCAGATATAAACGAAATTCATTTCAATCTTTAAATGTGATAATAGTTTATTAAAATATGTCACCAGGTCACACCATTTAAACAACTAAATTAATATTATTTTAGTTAAATATGTTTTGTTTTTGTCTGTGTATTTTAAATGGCTTGGTTACCATTGTAAATGTAAGACAGTAGACAAATGCGTTTTCTTGAATACTCGGCAATGTGTTAGGACAGTGTTTCGACATGAAACTTTAAAGAAAATACACACTGGGGTTAATTGCTTACCATTACACAGTACTTAACTGCATTAGAAAACGCTGATAGAATTTCAAATATATTTGACTCTTTAGAACCGATTTTTTTCACAATGGATTCAAATTTTTTTCAGACGTGGAACTCAGAGTTATTGGTATAAGTAAAGCAAGATGGTCGAGAATAGCACCCACTGTGCCTTATCTGAAAATATATGAGGAGAAAAGAAAAGTTTTGGACACTAGAATTAATGTATTTAGCGAAATAACTGGTATGTTTTCGATATTATAAAATGTTACAAAACAAAATATTGCTACTAAAAGGCGAATATCTGTACTAATATTATAAAGAGGAAAGATTTGTATTTTTGTATGTATTGAAATAACTAAAAACCACTAGGCCAATTTCAAAAATTCTTTCACCGTTAAAAATCTGCGTTATCAGTGGTTATAGGTCATATTTTTTTTATTATTTCTAATTTCGCGCGGACCAAGTCGCGAGCAGTGTCTAGTGTTAATTATAGGTAAAGAAAATGTCGGAATCTTGTCAATATTAATGTATTTTTTTTGTTTTAAAGGTTTAGAGTAGTCCCTAATTATCTTACTCCTTTGTAACTCCCATATGAATCTAATTTTTTTCCAGGTAAAAAAATAAAACCAGGTATAAACAACTATCAAATCCATTTTAACCTTCCTAATGATTTGCCGTCGTCATTCAGAAGTTCAATAGCTAGTGTATCTTATTATATTAAGATAATGTGTAAAGCGGCTTGTTGTCAATCGAAGATAAAAATTGTTCCACTTATTGTGATGAGTAGGGTAGATCTGAACCACTTGGAAGAGAATAAGGTAATCTGTATTTATTTGCACTGTTAAAAATATTAATAATTTGCCTTAATACAAAAAATGTAAATCGTTTTTTTTAATTACTATATCCCAGAAAAAATATCTGTTTTTCCTTTTGCATAGTTTAAAACAATTTATTATTTGAAAGTAGATCGAACGTTAGCTTTTACGATGTTTTACATTTACTGAAAGTTGTTAATAATTTATTTTTTGTAAATAATACGGATTTTGTGTAAATTTTAACTGTTCCAGGTTGCCATGATGTACGATATGAACAAGACTTTCGCAACGTCTGGAACTTTGACGATATATTTTAAAACGTACAGATGCTTTGCGCCGAGACAAAGCCTACCGTTTGGAATAGACATTAGCAATGACAAAAAAGCAAAAATAAGCAAAATCATCGTCACATTAGTACAGGTAAAAAGGCAAAAGATATAAAGGTTTCACTAAACGATTTTTTTTAATTCGACATGTCAAATATTCAAACAATATCGAACACTATCAACTAATTTGAAAAAAAAACACGATCGTTTACAGTGTCAATAAAAATGTTCTGATACAAATTTGAATGAAAAGCGTTTAGTTTTTCTTTTTTTTCCAGAAACTTGAATATAATGTTACTGCGGGATATGCAAACGATGAGAAAAAAATATGTAAAACGGAACGTAGCGATTTTTGTAATGAAACAAAGGAGTATTGTCGCATGTTTATGGATGTGCCGCAAACAGTGCCATCTAGTGTCAACGTAACGAATCCAATGGTTAAAATATACTACGTATTAAGGGTTTGTAATCTTTTTAATATTAACCTTTACATAAACTATCGCTTCTATTAACCATAACGATCGACCACTTAATTTAAAGACCTAAAAAAACAAATTGAATTGACTTCATGTTCAAAATATGATAACCTAATCCGATTTTTTATTATTTAATTATTATTTCTTAGGATTGATAAAATACCAAAACTTGCCTATAAAACTATAAAAATGCCCAAGAAGTACATTAATAAGTACACTAAAGTGCACTTGTTACATTTTTTATACGAAATAAAACCATAAGCTTAAGGCCCCAATGCTTAAATTTAGTAAACTGGGTAATGATTTAAATATATTTTTCAGGTGGAAGTGATTTTTACATTTCACTTAACATTATCCGAAGACATTCCTGTAACAATAACAACGGTGCCTGTCCAACATCTCGGTACATAAATACTCTAAAAAAAACTACAATATCTACGTAACATTAAGTTATTAAAAGTTAATATATTTGTAAGTCCCCTAAAAATAGATTTCCTGTCAGAAATTTACACTCTAGATCTCCGACTCTAAAGGACGTTTAATGATTTTTTATTAAAATTCAATATGAGATCATAAACGTATTAATCTACTGATATGTTTAAAAATTGGGACATTGTTGGAATTGGCTTGACTTTATCCGTGATCTTCTATATAAGGTTTTAGAAAACTTAATAATTTATTACGCAAAACATAACCTCAATTCTTTGATAACGAAAAGACTTATAAAATATCCTAAGTACTAATGAATTAATTTTTTTATAAAACATTGTAAACCGTCCGTGAGCTACTTAAATTAATAACCTAAAATAAATAAATTACAAAACGGAGGGACATTATTTTAAGCATTCGTCAACCATTTTAACAAATTAAGTACTTTTATAATAAATGTTGTGCACATTTATGTCTTTTTTAATATGTTGACCTAATTTAAAGGACGTCAATGTCAATGAAGGTCATCGGCGGCTAGAAGCGTGCGCGCCGGCGCGCGGGTCACAAGCCCGCGCGTTTGTACACATCGTCCTCCAAGTCGAACCCCGGGTCCGCGTACCCCGAGTCGTCGTAGCGGAGAGACCTGTGGGGT